GTGGCAGGAACAAAGGGGATTATTTTATCTCTGACCTTCTGTAGCCTATTAATCACATTTTAGAATATTCACTGTTTTATGGGTCTATCAAGAATTTGAGAGAGGATTTGCTAACAAAGAACAAGTTGTAATTGCTCTCAGGACAGGACCCATGATTCTGCTCACAGCAATATGTTGTGGACATTAACCTTTTTGACATTGCCATTTTTCTTAACTGTCTCAAAGTTTCTTCCCTGTGGAAAGAAATCCACCATATTTGTAAAATAACTGGTAAAAATACCCCATTTTCTTTTTTTTAATGTATGTGGGGGAGGGAAGAGATTGGGGTTTGAACTCAGGGCTTCGCTCTTACAAAGACACTCTTCCACTTGAGCCATACCTACAGTCCAATTTGCTCTGGTTATTTTGGAGGTGGGGGTCTAGAACTATTGCCCAGGCTGGCCTCGAACAGTGATTCTTCAGATTTCAACCTCCCAAGTAGCTAGGATTAAAGGTGTCATTTGCCTGCACCCAGCCCCACTTTCTATTTATTGCCCTGAACAGGCAGAAATTATTTGACCCACTTTTTGCAAGTTTTATTTTCTGTCAGATTCTCTTATTTTAATCCCCTCAAGAAGAATATTGTAGGATTTCAGTCAAGAAGTTTTAGTTTGAGACCGCCTGTTTCTATTAGAAAAACCCTTCCTAGTTTCCTTCCATTTTACTTCTGCCCCCCTTATGCCTACAGAATTAAAGCCAGTGAGCGATTGATATACTCATTTATTTCCTTAGAAGGTTTTTTATTTTGTCAGTAACTTTATGCAGATTTGCTTATTGTCTTCATTTTACTTGGTGTTAGAGACAGTGAAGCTGTATGGTTAAATTTCTCTGGTTCAGTTGAGTTAACTGGTTCAGTTGATGTAAACTGATGAAGTATACTGTTTGTGGCCATCCACTCTGTCTGCCGTAGCATGCAGTACCATAATTATTTCTGGTGTTGTTTAATCTGCCCTAAAAATTATATCTCTGTTTTAAGTGCTTTCTTCTCATGCATTTCGTTTATGCTTTTCAATACAAGGAAGGTTTTTTTCCAATTACATTTAAAGCTTTAAAATGAAACTGGTTCTTCCACTTAGAGTTTAAGTAAAACTGGAAAGAAATCAGAGATAAAAGCTAAGCTTTACTCATGGAAAATACTTTACAGAGGTCTTTTCCTCATGTACTGGTACATTTCCTCAACTATTTTCATTCTTTCTATAGAACTTAGGAGGAAACAACTTTTTACTGTAATAATTCTTTTAAAAGAAATCCTTCAGTTTACCTTTAATCTTAATTTGTTTTGAACTGTAATTCCTAGCAATGTACTTTAGAACTAAGGAGTACAATGTTGATTGTTTTATAGGTAAATGTATAAATTTATTTTATAGTTTTCAAAACTTCTTCCAAGGTGCTAATTCTCCATAGCTCTGAGTTGAGCATTTTAGCATGTATTCTCCAGACAAGTTGCTGTATTTTTTAAATGATTATTTCAACTATGTGATACTTTAAATCATCTTTAGAATTAGGAGTGCAGGGGGCCTTTCCTATTATTCTACCAAGAAAATAGCTGTAGGAATCTGTTTTGAATTTATCAAATGTAAAAGAACATAATTCTGTTGTGCATTTAGACTTAATATCCAATTCAGTTTTGTAGTATGAGTAGAGACAGTTCAAAAATTGAATATGGAGGTGTTTTTTTTTTTTTTTTTATCCTTTTGTTTTCAGAAAAAGAATTGCCCCTTTTGCTCACATCCTACTTCAGATTATATTTCAAAGAGCCAACATTTGCCTAATTTATTAGCTGTTTAGTTGGAATTCAGAATAGTGGAAAATGTTTGCAGATAATTCTGTGCAATAGTAGAAACTTCAGTTGCTTCCTCGTATTTCTTCAGGGCAGTGATCACAACCAGATTCAACGTATGCACAAAGCAGCGGATACCATGGTAGCGGCCGTCGCTGATTGCTTTTACCATGTTGGATCCATTGTCAGTCTCAGAGAACTACTTCCAGCTAGGTGCCTTGAACTCAAATAGCTTTTCACACAGACTTCAGGATGTGAGCTAAGGTATGGCCTTTTTTCATGAGCTGGGCCTACATATGGGTTGACAGTAACCTGCAACTTTTAAAGAAAGAGGACACTACTGGCTTATGTCAGACAATGAATAGTTGCAATCATTTGTAGGCAGATAATACATATCCTTTAGATAGTCAAATACTGTCTACCTTTTGGAGATTATGCCCTCCCCCCTTTTTCCCCTATATGTTTTTGTCAAAGAGACTATGCAAGTAAAGATTCTCATTAGAACCTATGTAATAAGTTCTCAGATGTATCTGCTTTATGATTTTTCCATTGTCTTCAGCATGAGTTAAGAGCATTTCCTTTGTGGATTTCATGTTTAATTTAAAAAAATAACTTCTAGATTCTTGTACTTTCTTAAAACTTAATTTTGGTTTAAAAAACAAAATTTGCCATCCTGTTTACATTATTTTATTAACCTTCCAGTAATCTTTATAAAGCTGGAATTAGGAAGTTGTTATTCATGAACAGGACTTGAAGTTTATAGTCAGTGGTTTTGTGAAGATAACCTATGTCAAGATGGTGACTACCATGAAGCTTTAAGTCGCATCAAGATTGTTTACTCTCCATGCCAGTGGTTGTTGTTTCTGCAAGGAGATGGTACCATTTTTTGGGAAAATGTTTTACTTTCATATCTACCTTCTTTACTTGGCAGGATATGTTCCTTTAAGTGAAATCTTTTATTATGAGTACAGTAGAACATCTGATTGATGATAGACTTAGGAAATCATCTATATTTTAATTTTTTCATAGTTACAACAACAAGTTTTCCTAAACTACTTACTATTTCTCATTATAACTCTAGTGGCCATTGTATTAAGAATTTTATTAAGCTCAGTAATAGAGAATCCCTTATAATTTGATTAGGAAAAGTCCTTGTAAATTCAAAGTGGGTACTGTCAAGAGCTTTTGCACCTTTCTTGATTCACAGTGTTTGATACTGATTATTAATAGCTTTTAATAAGTGCAAGTAAAAACCTGCTTGAGCTCCCCTACCACAGTCATTTCTTTATTAAGAAATGGCCAGGGTCAGGGTCAGGCAAAGTTGCACAACCTGTAATCCCCAGTACTTGGTAGGCAGAGATAGAAATATCACAGTTTGGGCCCAGCCCAGAAAAAGTTGACAAGACCCTATCTCAAAAACAAGGTGGGCCTGGTGGTGCATGCCATTGATCCTAGGTACTCAAGAGATGAAGTAGGAGGATTGTGATCCAGGTACAAAAGTGTGAGCCCCTCTTTGAAAAACAAACCAAAAGCAAAAGGACTGGAGATGTGGGTCAAGTGTTAGAGGGTTTACCTAACAAGCATGAGGCCCTGAGTTCAGTCCCCAGCAGCAGCTCCCAAAATAACTAAATGGTCAGACTCACTATTAAACCGTAGTTTCAGTTTTACTTCATAGCTTTCAAAGATACTGTGTCTTGATAATAGAAGTAAAACAGCTGATACTTCTGTTTTAAACATTGACTGTCTTCTCCTTACATATATACACACAGACACGTGTTCATGCACTCATACATAGAAGCTGATGGTTGAAATGCTGTACAGTACATGCACATGACGAAGGAAAGCAGATATTTGTTCTCCATGACTTACCTATCTCAGGGAAGATAAGAGAACATAATAGGTAGGGCAATAATGAAGTGACACATTGTGCCTCTTCAATTAAGTCACCTTGCCAGGTGAGATAATAATGTATACCTCATAGCTAAAAATATCTGTGGATACTTATTTTTTTTCACTCTGTAGGACTCAAATTCAGAATACTTGTGTTAATACTCTATCCATTTGCTCTTGCTACCAACATGAATGGCTTCCTAGTTTGCTACTTTATAATCTGCCTATACTTAAGCACTAAATTGCTTCTAAGCAAAAGTTTGTCTTTGTGATAAAGGTTCATTTTTGTATGTCAAAGGCATTATTTTGTTATGCATTCTTTTATATTAGTCTTTTTATAGTTCTCTGTAATTATGTCTACTTTGTGACATTATTTTAATATAATGGCAAGTTCTTTGGTTGATAGATGTACATCTAGAAATTAAGTGATACGTAGTTTAGATTGTACCTTAGTATAAATATTTTAAGCACTTTGATTTATGTGTAATTTCACTTTTAAAATTTCTATTTAATGAATTAGTTAAGATGTAGATTCTCTTTTAAATCTAAGCAGTGAAGATTTTATCATTTAAATAACATGTTCTGAGAGTTGGACTAGAAGGAAATAATGTTTAGTTGTAATTTTTAGTGACTCTTGTATTAAAATCTACTATATTCATCTAGACAATTTAAAGAAACATACACTGATGTCCTATACACTGAAATCTTGCTGTAACATACCCAGTTATAAGAATTTGACATAATGTGTGGTACATTTAGATCCTGAGAATTAATAGAATAATGTCTTCTGAATGATTATGTCCTAAAACTTAGCATTTAATTAAAGGTTCCTTGTACAGAAGCATGTTGTGGGGGGCTGAAGGTGTGACTCAAGCGATAGAGTGCCTGTCTAGCAAATATCAAAGCCCTGAGTTCAAACCCCACCTTGTGGTAAAAGGTAGTAGTGAATCTACATTTTACTCTAAATATGAAGTTTCTTTTGCTCTGGAAAATTAACAACTGAGTGAAATACAAATAGTATTAAAATTAAAAAGTTTATGATTATTTTGAGTCCCACATCTTAGAAGACAGAAGGGGTAACCACCTGTCACATGTAGGAATAAAAGTGATTTCTCTATGTATTCATAATTATAATTATGCTACAAAAGCAGTAATGAATCTAACTTTTTGTATATTATATACACATTGTCATTTTATTTTTAACCACTGGTGCTGACATACGGAGGTTTTAGTTTTCAATCCTAAAAAATTTTCCTTGTTTCTTTCCATATTTAAAAAAAAAAAAATTCAGATCTAAAAGGGAAAATGTTAAAACAGGAGTAAAACCTGATGCATCTGATCAAGAACCAGAAGGACTTACTCTTTTGGTACCAGACATCCAAAAGACTGCTGAGATAGTTTATGCAGCTACCACCAGCTTGCGCCAAGCAAACCAAGGTACAGTGTGACTCCTTTTAGGCTACTTTTCATTTGATCGTAAAATGCTTCATTTAGTTCCTGAAAAATCACCTTTCTGTTCTGACTTTGTTACTGGGCTTTTAAGTTCATTTACTTAAAAAGTCTGGTTTTGAAGGCTGGGCAACGATGGCTCATGCCTATAATCCTAACTACTGGGATGCTGAGATCACGATGATTTTGGTTCAAGGCTATCCTGGGCAAATAAAAAAAAAAACAGAGTAAAAAATGGTATGGAGATGTGCTCAAGTGATAGAGCACCTACTTTGCAAGTTCAAACTCCAGGACCACTCCCCCTCTACACCTCCCCCAAAAATGTTGTTTGTCAGGTTTCAGATATGAATAATTTCTAGTTTTACAATACTTATCTCTTATATACGATTGCTAATACTAAATTTAGTCTGAGATCCTGTATCATAAATTTCTATTCATGAAATTAAAAAATGTCATCTGGTAGGAAAGTAGTACATTATGACTGTGTATGAGTAGCTGGTAGAGTGCCTGCCTAGCAAGTGTGAGGCCTTGAGTTCAAACACCAGCACTGCCCAAAAAAAAAAAAAAGAGACTCTATAAGAATTTAGTTTAAATTGACATTTTATCTGAGAGCTACAGAAGAGAACAATGATTTTCCATCTGTTGATTCACTTCTGTTTTGTAAGTTGGTTAGGTTTTTTGCCATGATATATTTCTGAAAGAAAAATTCTTTGCTCACTAAATGGTGGTCAAAAAAAAAAAAGAATATAATTGTGAAAAGTTTGACACTTTTTTTAGATTTCAGTATTTGAACTCTAGAAGCAAATTGTTTTTCATTTTAATCTTCAAAAATGTATGCTTATGTTATTTATCTTATAACATTAAATAACAGAAAAAAAACTAGGTGAATACTCAAAGAAGGCGACTCTGAAACCCAAACCTTTGTCAGTATTAAAATCACTTGAAGAAAAATATGTGGCTGTTATGAAGAAACTACAGTTTGGTGAGTTAAACTTTTTCATTTGCTATATCTCATTTTCAAATTTTTCATAATATTATTGGAGTGTGCTCTTGTAAATTAAAGGTTTTTAAGACTTGTTTGTAACATGATTTATACTTTATGTATACATATGAAAATTTTTATCACTTACCTATATGCACGCGCATGTGTGTGCCCATGTGTGTGGGGGTTGTGCAGTTATACAGCGTTTGGATATTGTGACTTCAGTAGGATTAGGAACCTGCAAAAATAAAAACACAACTAGTTGTGTGTCAGAAATTATTTTTTGGGGTTTTTTTCTTTCATGCCTTTTCTTTCCCCTCCCTCTTCTCTCCTGAACCCAGCTTGCATGCTTAGCAAGTGCTTTACACCTGCACTACATCCCCAACCCTATTGCTTTCTTTACCTCTCCATTTCTGTACACACTGGCCTACCAGAAGTTAATCACCTGGAACTTTGAATAATTTCTATTACTCTTTCATGAGATTCACTTTTAGAAAATATAGTTAACATAGTCCAGTTCTAGCCTTTCTCATTCCAAAATTCTTGACAGGTAGGGGCTGATGAAAAGATCTTATCAGCACTTGACAAGGTGCTGGTCAACACCCAACTATAAATATTTAGATTCCAGTGTTTAATGACTATCATTATCACTGCCTGTATTGCTTTTCTATCCTTGAGAACTATCTCTAGGACTTGGACTATATCAAAAAGAACACTAAAGTAAGATTCAGAAAACATGGGTTTTTGTTTTACTAGCTTTGAGACCTCGGTAGAAATCATTTAGCATTTGCTGCACTTACCTCTCAGGTTTCCATAGAGATCACATGAGATAATATACAGTTGATTTATATTTTTGTTTGGGGTTTGGTTAGTGTGTAATGATGTTACAGCTTTTTCCGGATTGAGAGTGATCAGCCTGTTCATTTCACACTTTGTATATTAACTTCGGTTTCTTTGCTTTTGTTTATGGTTTTTTTTGGTGGTACTGAGATTTGAAGTCAGGGCCTTAGGCTTTCAAGGCAGGCACTCTACCACTTGAACCAGTCTCCTATCCCTTTTTGCATTGGTTGTTTTTGAGATAGGATCTTGCTTTATGCTCTGGTGACCTGGACCATAATTCTCCTATTTGTGCTTTCCCATTTTACTGGGATGACAGGCATATGCTACCATTCCTTGAAATGGGGGGTGGGGTCTCTCGAACTTTTTGCTTGGGCTGGTCTCGAACTGTGATCCTCCTGATCTCTGCCTCCCCAATAGGGAGGACTACATGTGTGAGTCACCACATCTGGCCAGTTAACTTGTGTTTTAGTCAACACAATGATTTGAAGATGATTTTATTAAAAATTCATTTTTGTAAGTATTAAAGCCAAATACTCTATTTGGTTTTCATATATTTGATTAGGCATCACCAAGGTTGTTGATAGCTTCTTTAGACACTCAGTGCTGACATATGTGTCCTAACAGAGAGAAAATAGGAAAACCAATCTCTTTTATGATATTACGTCTAGTCTATACTCAAGGAGAGGCAAATTCTGCCTTTTTAAGAGTGTTAGAGAAAAGAGTACTAAAAGGAGTTTGTGTACATATGTTTATGTTTGAAATAAATATTGTACCAACCTTAGGTTTTATTCCACTTAACTGACTTTTTAAGAATATGTTACTAGCTTTAAAAAGTACTGCTGCAATGTTTTTACAGCTAGAAGTATTTAGGTATATTCCACCTCTATAAATTCAACCCTTTTTTTCAATCCAGAAATTTTTTATATTAGTAGTGAAAGTGATAGCAAAGTTTACTAAGAAAGGAATACACTTGCAATAGGCTGAAAGCAGATTATCTCTAGAGTGAATGAGAATTACCTTAATCCATAAATTTTTGTTTCACCTGTAGGAATCTATTTATTCATGTATGTGTGTGAGAGATTCTGGTTTAAATTTATTCTCTCTAGGAGCTCAGAATCATATGTGCAGAGCCCTTGATTAATGTTAGTTAGCCAGAAGGGCTCTTCTATACTACACAAATCAAAAGTTCCTTAGTTTGGGTGTGACTTTAAATGTAATCAGGTTTTACTATTCATTAACTTTTAGATTTCAAAAAAATGCAGGTTTTCTATTGACCTTCCTTTTCCCTCTCACCCCCTCCCCCCCTTTTTTTTTCCTGGTGTTACTGTCAGTTGCTAGCACTTGCTAGGCAGGTTCTCTACTACTTGAGCCATAGCCCCTGCTGATTGATTATTTGTTTGTTTGTTTGTTTGTTTATTTATGCGGTACAGGGGCTTGTACCCAGGGCCTATACCTTGAGCCACTCCACCAGCCCTTTTTTTTGTGATGGGCTTTTTTTGAGATAGGGTCATGAGCTGGCTTCGAAACATGATCTCCTGATCTCTGCCTCCTGAGTAGCTACCAGTGCCCAGCTTAGTTTTTCTTTTAAAAACTGCACTTTTTACCCTGTTTTCCATCCTATGACATAATGTCCAAATCTGGACCTTAGCTTATTTCTAGCCCTTCAGTAACGTGCAGTATCTTAGTGGATGTTGCATATAAATATTTGAGCAAATCCACAATTAATTCATTAGGACAGATTAATAGAAGAGAAATTGCTGAGTGAAACAGGATGTACATATTTAGCCACTCGTCATTGTCTTTGAATATTTTAATAAGGTTTATGCTTGGTAGCCTTGTTCTCTATGGACATATGGTATCATGAAATTTTCCTCTGAGCATAGAAGTAGGCCCATTATTATATCTGGTTGATGTCTGTTTAATAAAAAGTCAAAGGAAATTTGTTTTGTAGTAGTGTGCTGAAATTTATTCTGTAGCACTGTTGGGCAAATAAAATAACCTAGTTTACAAATTTGCTGATAGGAACTAGTAGGTAGTCTTGCTGAGACAGTGTGGGCTAAAATAATCTCTCACTTATTGCTTGCTAAATTAGATTCTACTTATATGTAATTGAGGATAATTTCTTCACAAATGTACCAAGGTTTTGTTGGGATCTGGTGGCTCATGTCTATAATCCTAGTTTTAGGAGGCTGAGATTCAGAGATTGCAATTTGAGATTAGGCAAATAGTTTTTAAGACCCTATCACCAAAAAGAGCAGAATGGCCTGGAGGAGTGGTAAAGTGATAGAGCAACTGCTTTGCAAGCATGAAGCCCCGAATTTAGACCCTGGTCCCACCCCAACAACAACAAAACAAAGTGCCAAAGATTTTTTAAATAAAAGATTTATTAAAGATTGTAATACTCCTGTTTAACAACTATAGCACATGTGTCTTTTAACAGTGTTTATAGGTCTTCCTTTTTTTATAGATTATAAATTCCTTGAAGGCAAATACATTTTTTGTTGTTGTTTTTGTCCTTTGCTGTACTGAGGGCCTCATGATAGCTAGGCAAGTGCTCTACCATCCATGCAACAAGTCCTTTGGCCTTTTAAGATTGCTTTTCAGATAGGGTTTATCCCTTCTGCCTAGGGCAGCCTAGGACCTCTTCCTTCTTCTTCTGCCTCCCACGTAGCTGAGATTATAGGCATGCACCACCACTCTTGGCCAGGTATTGTTTCTAGTCTATTACTTAACACAATTGCCTAGCCCTGGACCTTGCCTTCAGTAAACGTTGGTAAAATTCACCGAATCATTACTAGTTATAATACAGATTAATAATTTTCCATTCATTTAGACTTAGATGGCATACAAGATCAATAGTTGCCATTACCTTTAATAACACTATTTACCCTGTTATTTTCAATTTAGTGTTATAATTTATTCGAACAACTTTGTTTTATACATCAGATGAGTGAGGTGAATCTGAATTTGAGTCTGTTTTTTTTGTTTTTGTTTTTTTTCCAGTACTGAGTTTGAACTCAGCTTTGAACTTTCTAGGCGAGTTCCGTACACCTTTAGTCATGTTCCCCCTACCCCTTTTCAGGCTTTAGTTATTTTTCAGGTAGTATTTCAAATTTTTACCTGGGGCTGGCTTGGGACTGTGATCCTCCTACTTCTGCCTCCTATGTAGCTGGAATAACAGGTGTACACCACTGTGCTTGGCTTCTTTATTGAGAAGGAGTCTTGCTAACTTTTTGCCTTGGCTAACCTTGAATCTTGATCCTCTTAATCCCTATCTTCTGAGTAGCTGGGAGTATAGCTGTGAGCCACTGCATCTATCTGAAGTCTATTTTTCTGTTGTATACATAACTTGCAAGTAAAGAATAACTTTTAAGTCCTTTCAAGTCTGTCTAAATAAATGGTTTAAAACTAGCTTACTAATTATATCAGAGTACTTGGAAGATAGGTTTTTTTTACCTTCTGGTAGTCTTTTGTTCTGTTAATGTAAATTGTAGCCTATCATTTCTATTCTCTAATATCAAATCATTAAAGATATATAAAGATATATACTTTTTAAAAATGAAATGTAGTAAAAATGCTTTTCTGCAGTTTCACATTCTGCATTGTTTGATAAAGGGTTAAGTAGTCTTTTGATAACTGATTACTATTTTACCTTGTCAGTCAGCTACTTGACAGAATCCATCAGTGAGTCCATAGCTTGCTTTGCTCCCACTGTACGCGCTATCCATCCAACCACAGTGTTTCCATGCAGGCGTTGTCCACGCATCTCTTATGTTACCCTTCTTATACATTGCAGCCCTCTCTATTTTGGGTGGAAGAAGATACTAGGGATTTCTTTTTGGTCTTTGTCATTACAGTGGTATCTTCCATTCAGGTCCTCTTCTTTCTTATTCTTTTAGATACATTTGAGATGGTTTCTGAAGATGAAGATGGAAAACTGGGTTTTAAAATAAATTACCACTACATGTCTCAGGTGAAAAATGCAAATGATGCAAACAGTGCTGCCAGAGCCCGCCGCCTTGCCCAGGAAGCCGTGACGCTTTCCACTTCATTGCCTCTGTCGTCGTCCTCTAGTGTGTTTGTCCGCTGTGATGAGGAGCGGCTCGACATCATGAAGGTAGAAAAATAACTCTGTCCCCTTTCTCTGGGTGATGTAATTTCCCAGCTCTTCATACAGACCACTGGAAATAGCATCAATTTTTAAATTTTAATGCAACAGTTGGTGCCCACTTTGGACTACAGTGAAAGAAGAGTATTTCAATGCTTAGTTTAGGGTATGTGCATCAGGATTCCCTTTAAAATAAAAGTTCAGAGATAAAAAGAAAGCTACTATCCTTACATTTGACAGTTTGTGAGCATAGCATCGAAGGATTTAATGCTCATCAGTAAATAAGAGTTATAGGATTTCTTGTCATCCATGATGCTCCTCTGATGTTTTATAGTTACTCCTTAAAAATTAGACTTTTTTTCTTTTCTGGAAAATTTATGTATTCACAAATCCATTATGTATGTGAGTAAAGTAATGGTAATATAATAATGTAGTCTGTTACTTGTGCTTTTAAAACACAAACTGCATCAAGAACATCCTGAAAATTTGTCACTTTGAGAAAAATAATATTTATGATGTATTAGGTCTTTCTCTGGAAGTTTTACGTTTGTTTTGCTATTTTTTGGATTTTTTTAAGTAGAAATTTCATAGTCTTTGCCAGTTTGCCATCTTATTTCCTCATATAAACAGTAGAAGTCTAGGATTATTCCTAGGAAGCATTTTATCACTGATGGTCCACAAGGAGTTCAGACTGGCATTTTGCTAAGGACTGTGCTGTACCTGAGCGATCGCAGCCAAGAGCCTCATGTTCCCAAGTCAGAGTTGTCACACATGGAGAGAGATTCTCATGCCACTGCCTCCGCCTGCATCTCTCAGTCACCCAAAGACCTTGTTGCTCTTATTTTACGTGAGGATCTGTTGATTGGCTCAAACAGAATTCATGAATAATTGTTGCACTTATTTTTGTAGGTCCTCTGCAGTTTTTTTGGAGTACTAGTAAAACTGTCTGGTGGCAAATACTGTTCTTTTCCAACTTTTTTGTGATAGTGTTGCAGATTTTTTTTTTCTACTGTTAGCTACTTGTCATTATTGAGAAGATTTTTAAAAACTATTTCTTAAAGGAATAACTTACATGAAGAATCAAGCAAGTAAAGAGCTTCAGACCTCAAATTATTGAAAATACTATAGAGAAAACCTTAAAGAGGTGCTCTCAGCAAAAAAGTTCTTTACTATTTTAAAAGTTAATTGATATTTAGATAAATTCACTTGCTGCCAATAAGGCATCTCTGTCTCAATAGTCCATTTTCACCAAAACCAACTCACTTTAATTCTAATGCAGAACTACTCCTTAGGCTTACATGTATTCTTAACTTCTAATTTTTGGTTTTGGCACATTTGGTAGAGGTGTGTACAGGTTGTACAGAGGTGGTTATGACTTCATATTGTAAATATTGGCATCTAGGAAAAGTGACAGAGGCTTCTATGTGTTTGTGTACATACCAGGTTTTGATAACCGGGCCAGCAGACACCCCCTATGCAAATGGCTGCTTTGAATTTGATGTATATTTTCCTCAAGATTATCCCAGTTCACCCCCTCTTGTGAATCTAGAAACAACTGGTGGTCATAGCGTGCGATTCAATCCAAACCTTTACAATGATGGCAAGGTAACCGAATTGTGGTTTTCTGTTTCTAATAGCATACATTTTCAGTTTATTGGATCAAAAGGTTCTTTGTAATTTAAACAAAAATTTTGTTTTAGTTGTCTTTGTTCTAAGAGAACATGATGGATTTCTTCATTCTTGGCTTTCCTTTATGCACAGATTAGCTGGAAATATAAGAGAGAAGGAATTGCAAAGGGCACAACACTACAGTGTTAAAACAAATGTTTGTAAAAAGTTACCTTCTACTGCTTTTTAAACATAGCAAACTCAGCATGGAATTTACCACTATAAGTCCATCAAACTTGTAAAATTATTTTGAAAAGTGATGATTTGTTTTTAAACCTAATTTAAAAAAGTTACCAAAGAATTAATTTATTTAACAGGCTCCATGGCCAACTGATAAGAGAAGTCCCAGCTCATCTGTTCGGCTTTTTATCTTCTTTGCTTTACCTCTCTCCAATGCTTGTAATCTTTTCACGAGCACCTGAAAAGTGGATGAATGGGAAAAGCCATGGTACCATCAACTCTATTCGTTTTTTGCATATCACAAGTTTTCCCCCCTACCATAACTTTATTTGTGTCCTGTGAAAGACTCATTGGCCTTTTTTAAATTTAATTTTATTGATGATACTGAGATTTGAACTCAGGACTCATGCTTGATAGGCCACTTGAATTATGCCCCTGTTCCTTTATGCTTTGGTTTGTTTTTCAGATAAGATTTCTTTGTTTTGCTCCTGCCATGCTCAGACCCTGATTCTCCCATCTCTTTCTCCCTAGGAACTGGGCTTACAGGCATTCCCGCCATGCCTGGCTTGTTTTTGAGTTAAAGTCTCACTAACTTTTTGCTCTACCTGGTCTCATACCTACACATCTTCCCTCCATTTCCTAAGTTGTGAACTTATTTTTAAAGCTTAATTCATATTAAAATGATTTACATTTTTGTATTAAAGTAGGAAGATATATTCCCTTCTGAGACAATGATGACAAAAAGATATAATAACTATTTCATATGACAATAAACCTTTTAAAATTAGGTTTAAAAGAATAATCATCACTTTCTAAAATACAAAATATTTTATAAATAAAATTTTATATTTCAATTTTTATTAATAAAATATAAAATACAAAATATAAAATGAAACTGTATCTATTAAGGCATATACTGTTTTTAAAAATTAGAAAAAGATTTATGAAAGATGTGCACTAGTACCACTTTTCCTAACTAGAATATTGTCTTTCTTAAAAAAGAGTTATTTTTCATTAACTACGTGTTAACTGCTGTGGACATGTAATAGTTGCTTGTTTTCCGTTATGAAGAAACTGTAGTGCCACACGGTTTTGCATCATATCTGAAGATGCCAGTTGTTTTCACAGACCAGCTCTTAGGGGTATGTTTGGGAATATAAAACTGAGATACTTTGACATAAGAGAGTTTTGGTTTTACTTTCAGTTGAGGAAATTTGCTTTTAAACTCTCCTTTCAAATTCTGTTTATGTCTTCCTTTTCCCTTCCTTCTCAGGTTTGTTTAAGCATCTTAAATACCTGGCATGGAAGACCGGAAGAGAAGTGGAATCCTCAGACCTCAAGCTTTTTGCAAGTAAACAAAATTTCTCTGAGTTTAATGACGGAGAGTAGGCTAGAGTTGTGGATCAATTGGAACTGCCTAGCAAGCTCAAGGCCTAGAGTTCTATCCCCAGTACTGCAAAAAGACAAAAAGTAAAAATAGTAACCACCTGAAAAAAGATAGAATATTAGGAAATGCATAGTAAATAGCTTATAGTTGAGCAGTTAATATAGTAGAATCTCTTCTGGCGATTAAAGACTCAAGTGAGGACATAAGACAAAAAATTTAGTTTTGTCAAAACCAAATTGTTCCCTATGTTGTTCTTCAGATGTAGCAAGATTGTACAGATTGATTGCTCCTACCTCCCATCCTATACAGCAAGGCTCAAACCGTGTGAATACAATTTAATATACTACTGGTACTTAGTATTCCTTCACATATGATCTGATTCTTCTGTAATCTAGTTAAAACTTTGACTCATCTCAGACTGTGAAGTGTTGTCCTGGAATTCATAATACTTGGTATTTATACTTCTTATTTTGCAGAGCTTTGACATACAGATTTCATAATCTTTCATTTTTTACTTTCCACAAATCACTTGAGCACTTAAATTATATCCCATTTTTTGCTATCTTTTTTTTTGTGGAGAAAGTGGTTAGTACTGTGGTATGAACTCAGGGCATCACACTTGCTAGGCAGGTATTCTACCATTTGAGCCACATCCTTTCTTGCTTTGGTTTCAGGTGGGGGGTCTCATGTTTTTTTCTGGGGCTAGCCTCAAATTATGACCCATCTCACCTGTGTCTTTTGCACAGCTAAGACCACTCCTAGCTTATTGGTTGAGAAGGGGATCTTGCTAACTTTTTGCCTGGATTTGCCTCAAGCCATGTTCCTCCTGATTTCCCGCCTCCCGAGTAGCTGGGATTACAGGTGTGAGTGACCACACTTGGCCACTGATGCTTGTCTTAATACAAAATCCTAGTAAAAAATGAAGAAGTGAGCATAATGATAATATAAGTTAACTTTAATTCACATTCATTTAGGAAGCAGAAACAGTCACTGTTGTTACTTAATATTTTAAACTCCCATTCAACCAGAAATTATGCCCATGTAAGCCAACTAAGGTTGAACTACCCTGAAAGATTCTTTTCCTTTATTGTTATTTCACATTAAGTAAAAAAGATGAAAAAATAGATGTGTTTACATACCTGTGCTTTCTTTCCTGAACTTTGTTGTTTTAAACCAAGTAGGCTATGAATGTGAAGTAATTTTCAACTCACTATTTACATCTACAACTGCTTGAGATGAGGCTAAGATAAATAAGAAGTCTTTTTCATAGATTTCTGAGGTTTTTGTATTTGTTTGTTTGGTTTCAGTTTTTTTGGGTTTTGTTTTGTTTTTGGTTTTGTGAATCAGATTTTCCCTTTGTACCCCACGCAGTTCTAGAACTTGTGATTTTTCTGCCTTATCCTCCTAAGTACTGGGATTATTGGTATGTACCACCATGTCTGGCTCAGAAACATATTTAATTTTAGAAAGCCTCAAAAATGTGAAATCTTTGTCTCAAAATTATATGGATTACATTTTTTGTTTCTATACTTGACTTTGGCCTCAATAACATTTCACATCATATTTACCAACATCTGCTCTTATGTCAGATATTTATGGTTCAAGTGTCCATTTTAAAAATTTTTTAAGAAAGATGGGCAGTATGGCTAAAGTGGTAGAGCACCTACTTAGCAAGCACATGGCCCCGAGTTCAAATCCCAGTACTACTTAAAAATTTATTTTTTTCTTAAGAAAATTTATCCCTTGATTTCTAAGATTTTATCCATGGCATTGTTTTATCATTATGGTCTAATAAAAGTGCAATTGCTATTAATCCTGTTTCATTTATGAAGTGGGAAGATGCTGTTGAAGATATTCTGTTAGCTAGTCTTTTATTTTTTCTTTCTTTTTTTTTTTTTTTTTTTTTTTTGGTGGGACTGGGGTTTGAATTCAGGGCTTCACACTTGCAAAACAGATGCTCTACCACTCGAGCCACACCTTCAGCCCCTATTAGCTAATCTTACAGGTGTGTTAGCTAAGAATATTCTGTTAATTAGAAATGAGCCCTCTCAATGTGTGTTACACCGGAAGAAACAAGCCTTATGTAGAATATGTGGGCTGGGAGGTGAGTTTAGAGCCACGAGCCCATCTAACCCGTAAGGACTTCTAGGAAGGGTTTCATGATACTATGTGGGGGAGGTCTTTTTTTGTCTTTTCTTTCTTGGTGCTGGGATCGAACCCAGGGCCTCATGCATGCTAGGCAAGCGCTGTCCCACTGCGCTACATCCCAGTCCTCACGATACTATGGTAATCAATTTTCCATGGAATATAAATTAAAAACTGCCTCATGCAGTTTTTCTTGTGAGTATCATCATCATTATTTTGGTGGTACTGGGGTTTGAACTCAGAGCCTCATGCTTGGTAGTCAGGTGTTCTACCACCTGACTACCATTCTTCTGCCCCTCCTCATGATTATTTTCAAAAGTGCTTGACTAGTTTTATTTTCTTCATGAGTAAGGATGGTTTGAACATATTTAAATTGATAAGGGAGTGGACATGGTAGCATGTCTTTATAGTCCCAGCTACTCTGGAGACAAGGCAAGAGGGTATTGCTTGAACCTAGGAGTTTGAGATCAGCCTGAGCATCATAACCGTGCCCCGTTTCAATAAAAAAGCAAGCAAACAAATAAGATGTAGGATGTTTATAAACAGTTTCTTTAGGAAATAGGAGTCACATATCTATTTTTATTATTTATGGATTAAGAACATACAACAGATGTACAAATATTATATACAAGGCTCTATTTCTAACTTTCTTTTGCTTTAATAATAGAACCTTCTAATGCATGGGCAGCACTTTTATAGTAATAAAAATATGTGGTGGAAACACATACTAAAAGACTCCTTGTGGATCAACTAAGATGCCAGTTTACTGATAGCAAGAATGTCCCATTGTAACTATTCTTCATTACCTTTATTCCTCAGGTGCTGGTGTCTGTCCAGTCCCTTATATTAGTAGCTGAGCCTTATTTTAATGAACCCGGATATGAACGGTCTAGAGGCACTCCCAGTGGCACACAGAGTTCTCGAGAATATGATGGAAACATTCGACAAGCAACAGTTAAATGGGCAATGCTAGAACAAATTAGAAACCCTTCACCATGCTTTAAGGAGGTAAGTTCAATAAAATTAATTAAATAATTCATTAAAGATGCACAGTCACAATCCCCACTTCTATTAAAAGAAGAAGACAACATTTCAGTTTACTAGGATGTATTATATTTTTCTTTAGAGTATCTGGTTTCTAATTCTAAAATATCAGTAATATTATAGTACAGATGAAGTTTTAACACCACATATATCTTAAAAGGCTTGAGAATTTATTTTGAGACATTTATTCTTTAATTTTAATAGCTACCATTCTACTAACAAACTAAACATGTTACTAAAATATTCCTCTCAAAATTCTATTTTTTAAGTTCAAGTTAATGTTCTGAAATTGTCTCAAAAATATGTTTTGTTTTTACACTTATGTATATGTATGAATGTTAGGAAATGTTATTTCCTTTTCTTTAGGAAAAAGTTACACAGTAGTGAGTTTCTAAACTTGTCTCATTTCTTTTGAGGGCTTTTATTTCACTATGCCCTTAAAGTGAGGCTTTTTCTTATGACTGAATGTTTCCATATTCTGCCTGCATAAGGCTCTGCTTTTTACCTATCATGTCAAATGAATTTAGCATGTCATCATGCTTTAACTGCATCCTAAACAGTTTCCTGTTTCTTTGATCATCAGTTTCTTAGCTTGTACTAGCAATTCAACATTTTAGAGGAAAAGTTGCTGTATCTACCTGAGAGCAAACTGATGTTTAATAGATGAAGCAGTTCTGCATGAATACTATGTAACATATAATTGAAGTGCTTTTCTTCCTCAGGTAGCACTGATGAGTATGGTCTGAAGGAAATAAAAAGAACATTTCTTCTTCTTTTGTTTATCATTAATAAATAAATTTACAAGTCAGTGTCTCTTAATTGACCAAATTGGGTATTTTATTTTTGCAAAGGCTTGCCTTTTATCTTGAAAGACTGTGGAAATTAGCTTTTCTAATAGTACAGGAGATTCAAATATGCATTTCTTTGCCCATTTTGGTATGATATTCTGTCCCTTTTTAAGCTTGGGTTATTCACATTAAGTAATTCTGTTTACAACTCTATCAAATATCAGTTGTTGTTAGGCACTATGCTAATGTGTGGAAAACCTCAAGGATAAATGAAACTCAGTTCCTCACTTGAAAAAGCTATATTCCTTCTGTTTGCATCATAAGCTAATTCTTCAGGGCCCTTAGGACAAAGATTGAAGCTACTTGATAGTTCCACGTATGTGTGTAACAATAGTACATCAGTAGCAAACTTACGTGCACAAAACTGGATCGTGAGTCTTTCTTCTTTCTCTCTCTGTGAATGATTCCACTTAGTTAAAAATTGAGCAGAACTAACTTAAAGCTTGAAGAGGTCAGTTTTATTTTTTAACTCATCGTAAACTTTCTTTTAACTCAGGTTAACTTCTTGAGTTTAGTTTTTGAAACTCAAAAGTGATCTTGGATAAAAATTGTCTTTAACAATTGAGAAAAAAGTATTAGGCTAGGATGTAGCTCAGTGGTACAGCACTGCCTAGCATGAGTGAGGCCCTGGGTTTGATCCCAGCACCAAACAAAAAACAAAGTATTATGTCATGGTTAGGGCACCATTTTGATTTCTGCATAGATGTCTTTGACATTTAGAATATCTTTACTTAGCTAGGTGTTCTTTGGGTTCTCATTTAAAAAACAGAGACTTTTCTGTTGCCAATACTTTGCAAATTCTTTTCTGCTAGTTTTTAATTTACCTTTTGGGCATATTACATATGTATGTCTTATGCTCTTTGGATAGGATTGGTTGAATGAGCAGGATTAGACATTCTTTTCTGCTGGAGACCTGGGTATTTCAGCATATGTCATCTGATTTCATGAGCCTGATTCTTTCCTGCTTATCATAGAAAGTCCACACAGATAAATTTTATGGGCAGAAAAAAAAATGCAGTCTCTATAATTTTTTTTTTGTTTTGTTCTTGTATTTTTGTAATGCCACATACCCTGTCTTTTAAATTCTGACTGTAAATGCATTTTGTTCATTTGGGTTTTTTTAAGGTTATACACAAGCATTTTTACTTGAAAAGAATTGAGATTATGGCGCAGTGTGAGGAGTGGATTGCAGACATCCAGCAGTATAGCAGTGATAAGCGAGTAGGCAGGACCATGTCTCACCATGCAGCAGCTCTCAAGGTGAGTAAATCTGCCTAACATGAGCCCTGGTGGTGGCTTTGAAAGAAGAATTGTGTCTTCAGTGACTGAACCATGCCCATTAGAAAGGAAAAGGAGAGAGGAAATCAAAGAAACAAAAGTTTATTCAAATTGAATACACTAAATTGCTGCCCAGAAGTTTATAGAAGAGGTCCATTCCTTTTGACAATGGATTGACAGTTCCTAAAATTAAAAATAATTCTGTAGAGTTTTTCAAAGATGATAACAACAAAGTGGGCCCCATTAATGATTTCTTTTAATACTTTAGCCTTTCCCTAGGCCTCTTACCTTCTAGAATTTTATGCAGTTCCTCTTTTCTTTTTAATGCCTATAATCTTTTTGCAGTTCTTCTCTTTTTTTTATTATTATTCATTTATTCACATGTGTGTACATTGTTTGGGTCATTTCTCCTCCCTTGCAGTTCTTCTTAACAACTGATTGGAGGCACTAGCTGTGATACAAACCCATTTGGAGTAGGCAAGCAATTGTTTTTAACTTGAGCATGCACAGAATGATAATGTAGAATGTGCCAATTTTTCTTTTTTCCATACCTGGGAACCATTCTTTGTAATACTCAACCTTTTTTTCTGCCTCCAAATACACCTTTTTCACTTGCCTCTGTGTCTTCCATCCTCTACCAATTACCTTCCCTTTCCGTACTTTCAGTTTTTTTCCATGTCCACTGGCTCCTTTCCTTTTATTTTTTTTTCCTCCCCCAGGCAGTGTCTTGATATATACATATAAAACCCTGGCTGGCCTCAAAACTCATAGTGCTTCTCCCTTAGCCTTCCAAGTGCTGGGATTACAGGCATGTACCCCACACCTGGCTTCAGGTGTGGTTTTTTTTTTTTAATCCCTATCTTTTTGGGTTATGTATAGACAATCATATGGTGTCTGGGATTTGCTGCAAAATAAATCGAGAAGTGGTGGGAGTATAGCCAAAAGGGGATTGGCCACATGTTGATAATTGTCAAAACCAGCTCATGTGATTTTCTTTTACCATTTGCCTACTTTTGTATATGTTTGATGTTTTCCATTATAAAGACTTGTAGAAAGAAAGAACATTTGCATCACATTGAGTTAGCTCTACTTTGCCCCTGTTATAAAACAGCTTCTCCTTTTTACTGTCACACAGGAACAATTAATACTTTTTGTCTTTTTCATCTCTGACTAATAAAGTTACCCCTCCTCAATAACCTTTTGCAGTTTAACTTTCATTCCACCAGTGTTTCCCTCTCTCCAGGTCTGTAAGCCAGTGACCCTGGCTCACACTTGATTGACTCATCCATTCTCTCTTCCCCAGGCCTTTAGCCTGGTGTCCTTTTTCCCCTACATTTCACCTGCACTACTAGCTCACCTCCATTCACTTTTCAGCTTAAGTTGTACTTGCTCGAAGTTTACCTTGATGATTAGACTATAAGATCAGTTTAATATAAACATGCCATGCCTACTTATTAATTCACTCTAACTCTGTTCTAATATTTGTCATTTCTACTCCTTGCCTCTCTCTCTGTCCCTGTTCCTCCTCTCCTTTCTCTCTCTCACTCTCATTTTTTCTGGGGATTGAACCCAGGGCCCACACTCCATAGGCAAGCACTCTACCACTTGAGCTAAGCCCCTAATCATTTTGTTTGTATTTTGCTTTTGAGATAGGGTCTTGTTAATTTTGTACATACAGGCCTCAAACTCCTGGTCTTTCTACTTCTGCCTCTGGAGTAGTTGGAATTACATGTATGCATCACAACTCCTAGCTGCCATTTACTTTGTTTTTGGTGCTAAGGATTGAACCCTGGGCCTTGTGCATACTAGGCAAGTAAATTGGGCTACATCCCCACCTCCCTCCCGTTCACCCTTTCAAAGCGACTTTCAAACTTGTCTGCTCTTAGCTTCTCCTGAATGTATTACTGACTGTTTTTAATTAGATGCCCTGTCATTACCTTCTTAAAGATCCAAAAGTCAAGCTTAGTCTCTCTTCAAATCAGGTTTCCTAGCTTTCCACATTTTTTGGAACCCTATTCTTGGTCTTAAATCTTCAAATGTTATTTCACTCCTCCTCCATCAGTTCACCATGTCCTCTTAGTAGTTTTGCCCTCCTAAAGGGACCCTCAGCTTAGTCTGTTTTACCAGCTTTCTTGTAGCATGCTTTTCACCCCAGTTCTTTCTGTGGAATATAACCAGATTGATCTACCCCAAATAAGTGTTTAGATACGTTTTCCCTTACATAAATTTGTAGTGACTAAAGTCCAGCTTCTTTCACTCTATATATTGCTTTTATCCCAAATTCTTCTACTGTAAGTTTTTCTGTCACCTGACCTGAAAATCTCCATCCGTGAATTAATCCAAATTTTTAAAATTTCAATTATACCTTTGTGGTATTCATGGAAAATGGATAGCAACATCAGTGAATTTTGAGCTTAAGGATCCTTGTCAGTTTTGTTCACTGCCTGTAATAATGGCTAGCAAATGTACATGTGTCGTCAATATTTGTGTACTTACTTACTGCTTTCGATTTAGTTGAAACCAAGTTCTATTCTCTGGGTGTAGTGCTAGAATCCTGGAGTTTACTGTTCTAACAGTAGTAATTTTCTCTGTGTAGCGTCACACTGCTCAGCTGAGAGAAGAGTTGCTAAAACTTCCCTGCCCTGAAGGCTTGGATCCCGATGCTGACGATGCCTCAGAGGTGTGCAGAGTCACTCCAGGTGCCGAGGAGACTCCAACACATGATCAGGTCAAACCCGGCAGCAGCAAAGACCTCCCTAGTGACTTCCAATTATGAGCTGCATTGATGTGGATTTCATAGACACAAAGGCTTCGAAGCACAAGCCAAATATGTCAATATTTGTATGTAAGAAACTAATTATGTAATAGTTAATGAAACTGAAACTATACTATGCCCTTAAGGAGATCCAGTTTAATTCAAGGTGATCTTTTATTTACCTGTACAAGAGTGTAAACTTTTTTGTGCTTTTATTTTTCAATTGTGAGAACCACTGATTGGTATGTTCAACAAATTTGTGTATACAAAGAAATGGATAAATCACTGATATATAAGGGAAACTACCTTAGGAAAGACTGTTTACTGAATGTTTATCTTTTTTTTTTATTTTTTTTTTTACTGTAGAGTGAGGGGTTGTTAACAAAGAATATATATTGGTCATTCTTACAACTACTATTTAAAGTCAGCAACTTTTCACTGAATTTGATAGATTTTTCTGTTTGGCCACATCTTCATGCTCATAATTGATTTCTGAAGACCTCCTACATACACTTCAATAAAAGTTAAATGGACATATCCCCTCTTTTTTGATTTACTGGTACATTTTTAATAATAAATCTGACATAAAATGCATTATAGCTGGAGACTTGCTCTTGTATGGATGAATTTATTACATTCAACATATTTAATTTTATGCCTTCTAATTCTAAGATGCAGAAAAAAAAATAAATGAACATGATTTTATTCTATGGCAACACTTGGGCCTCTGAATGTATCCATTATTTGAATTTAAGTATATGAAAAGGAATGGTCAATTTCAAGTCACTAAACTGATTTTTTTTTTCCTAAAGGGCTCCTTTTTTCCTGGACTCTCGGGTTTTATTGCTAAAGTCACATGTATGTATGAACATTGAGGCTCTGTAGAGGAGAGAGGCTGTACCTCTCTGGTGCTGTTACAGTACATTCTGTACCTGCCATACAGGTTCATTTTCATGCAATTTTTTCCTAGAGCCAAATAAATAAAGACTTAGGTAAATTAGTATGTCTTGTTTCTAAAACAGTCTGCCATGGTGTGAAATGCTGTTTCTACAAAAATTACACACTTAAGACTTGAGCATGGGGGAACAAAGAATGTTTTTCTAAGACCAGTTACCATAAAGGAAAAGTTGAGGTAATTTCTTGATAATGTTTATATAAAATAAAATAGTGTGTGGAAATCAGGAGCTGACCAAGGGGTGTATGCTGAACAGTCGCTCCCTGAAGAGAAAGAGAAGTGAGGAGTCATGGTATTGTCTCATGTGCAAGGTAAAGAGCTCTTTAAACATGGATAAATGGAGGAGCACACAGGGTGTGACCAGGAAATTGAGATTCTAAAACATAATAGTTTCAGGTCTGGTGGATAGTGAGCTACACCAAGAATGGCAGAATAGTGGTAAAGTCAATTTATGATAAGTAAGAAAAACTCAATTATATTTCATGCACAGACATGCCTGCTAGAATTTATAAAATTGTCAGCAATAGGAAATAAAAGGACAGTCATTAATTTTCCATGCCCTCCTTTATGTTTGATTGGTTTGGTCTGTTAAGTTCCCATCAGGACTGATTGATGAAAGCTGCTGTGAGGTATATCATTTGTTCCCAGTTTTGGACTTAAAACTCATTAGAGTTTGGTCAGGTTATTTTCCACTCCTTATCTATATCTCAGCAAGTTTTATAACATGAAAGTTGCAACACCAGCACTATCAAATACAATTTATGTTTTTTTAAAAACCAAGTCTGAAATATCTAAACGTGAAATAGATTGTGTTAGTAAAACTTTTTTTTTTTTTTTGTGATACTGGAGCTTGAAGTTAGAGCCTTTACCTTGAACCACTCCACCAGCCCTTTTTCCTGATGCATATTTTCAAGATAGGGTCTCCCAGATCATTTACCCAGGCTGGCTTCAAACTGCGATCCTCATCTCTGCCTCCTGAGTTGCTAGGATTACAGGCATGAGCCACAGGCACCCAGCGTTAGTGAACCTTTGAAGGCTTTATACTCGTTAACAGGTTCCCGCACTTGAGTGAATAATAGGTAAGAAAATAGAGTGTCAGTGCAGCATGGTAAGTTCTCTGGCAGACTTTATTACAGGGTAGCAGTGGGGCCACAAAGGTGCAGTTACCTCAGGAAAAACGTTGATGGACCCTAGGAAGTGATAGTTAGGAAAGGCTTCCTAAAGGAATATACCAGGAATCATGAAGGGTAAGAAAGAGTAGAGAAGGTAGCAGGGCAGAAAATTACCACAGACCCAGGAGAGCAAAAGGAGTGTTCCAGTTCCTGGTGCCATGTTAGATACTCCTAGAGTTTAGGAGGCCAACTGTGGTGTTGGGAAGATGGGTGATGTGTCATCAAAGGCTGGGTTTGCCCAGTTGTAGAGTTTTGCCATCCTGAAGGAGACAGCGCCTGTGTTGCTTTAATCAGGGATGCAGCCTGGTTAGACTGTTTCAGGAAGATCTGCTGCTGCTGTTGGAAGGCGAAGAATCAGTTAAGAACCCACTCTAAAGTACAGGTGGGAGATCATTAACGAGGGTAAGCAATGGGCAGAGAGGAAGAGACATTTGACCGAGCATGGGGGAATGTATTTTGGTATAGAAAACTTGAGCGGCATGTTTGCAAGCTGAGAAGCTAGTGAAAAAAGGTGAGTGTGGAGGCCTTGGAGAAGGATGGAGCAAAGCCCAACAGACAAAGTGATGGCCTAGGTCCAAAAGCATGTCAGAGAACTTGAAGAAATGCGGAAACCAATAAAGCAAATCTATCTGCTCATAAAACTGTTAAGTATAAAATCTTTCTCAAAGAGAAGCTGTATCCCCTCCATACTCCCCATCATGCCAGGGATTAAACCCAGGGTGTTAGGGAAGCTATAATCAAAAGAGTAGTTTGTTTTGCTTTAATATCTTAAATATCTTTCTAGCATTAAGACCAAAATCTCCAAAGTCAGACAAATGTAAAAACTACTGTAAACACTTTTTTGTCTTGGCTGTCTTCTGAGGTGGTTTATGGGGATAAGATGGTCTGAGGTGTGATACTCTAATTAGTGCACCTCACACTATTTGTGGTGAGGGACAAAAGGTTTTGATTACCCCCCATTTCTGATAGAGACTGATACTTTGTAAAATGCAGTAAAAATTTAACTGCTGGCTGGAATGTAGCTCAGTGATGGAGCACTTGTCTAGCATTTTCAAGACCCTGAGTCCCATCCCCAACACCAAAATATAGCTGCAATGTTTGTTATCTTACTCACTGTCTGTACTTGGCTTATGCAGACTGGTGGTAGTCTGTGGACCATCATTTGAGCAGTGTAGTCTAACAACATTTTAAATCAAAGCTAGTTATTTAGTAGGTAAATTTCTACAGTTGCATTGTTTTGCATACTATGTACTTTCCTCAAATTAAAATGTAATACTTTGGTATGTATAGATGGTACTAAAGTAGTATCAATTTGCAGAAACACAAACTTCAAATCTTGGGAGGTAATGAGATTGGTTACTCCAAGACTGAAACAGAATAGGGACATGCCCACTGCATCAACCTAGTCATGGGAACAGGCCCAATTGTAGACTTTGGGGAGCTGGATAGAGTTGACCTGGGAGTGGGCAGGCTGGGTAAGAGGACTGGAATGAGGAGCCCAACCCAAACTACTCTTTGGTGTTTCAGTCTTGGGGAAGCTGTTCAGAACATGGCAGGACCTTAGTTTCAATACTGAATTTTTTTTATTGTGATAAAAGCTACTGGGTAACTCATGGGAAATTGGGAAAATGGTGAAAAACAAGAAATCATTTTTAGTGTCTTAATATTTTTATAATTTTCTATATATTAGTATATGTAAATTTGCCGACTTTTCAAGCACATTTTTCTCTCCTAAGAATGAGTGCATAATATGAATGTAATCCTCACTGCTGGACAGTGAGGTTGTTTCTGTTTTTCTAATTATAAATAATGCTATGATGAACACGGTCTATGTTATTTCCTTATGATAAATCCTAGCAGTAGAGCTGCTAGGACAAAAGTTTTGATACATAATAACTGTTGCTTCCAAGGAAGTTTAGTGACTCACTTTTTTGGGGGGGGTTTTACAGGATTTGAACTCAGGGCCTCACACTTGCTAGGCAGGTGATCTACCACTTGAGCCATTCACCAGCCGTTTTTTGTGTGGAGTATTTTCAAATAGGGTCTCAAGAACTACTTGCTCAGGGCCAGCTTTGAACCCTGATCCTCCTAATCTCTGCCTCCTTAATAGCTAGGATTATAGGCCTGAGCCACCAGCACCTAACTGTAGTGACTAACATTTCTAATTACAGTATTACACTGTGAGTAGCATTGGATATTAAAATTTTTAATCTGACATTTCTTATTGTCAAATGTGGTCTTTGTTTCAACATTGTTAGCCATTTTAATTTCTACTGTCAGTTACAAGCTTATACCTTTTCCCTATTTCTTGTATGTTGTGTGTGTAATATGTATGAGCTAGTTGTATAGTAGAACATTTGTAACAAATTAACAAAATTTTGCTCAGATGGCATTAATTTTTGCTTAGATTTTCTCATGGAAATTTTAATTTGTTGCTTTTTTTTCCTATCGTGTGTTTTCTAACTGGGATTGATTTTGGTATTGGTGTTGACCTGTCTGGAGCTGAACTGGAACAAATTTGAACCACTTCCTTCCTCCCATTCCCCCAGCTCCCACCCCTCAGAGCCCAGTGTGGATGGAAGTTGAAGCCATGCTGAAACTCTACCTGCCTTCTCTTCCTCAAAATCTGCCATTTTTAGCAGCTGCATACTCCTTTTGCTCATCTAGTCTCCCTATGCTTTCAGCTAAAGAGGCTGACTCCAGCCTCTCTCCTCTTCAGTTCCTGGGTGAGATCATGCAGTGTTCCCACGGGCCTCCCCCAAAGCAGGCTTTCCTGCCTTCACTTCTTCCTCTGTGTGTTCCCGGAAGAAATACCAGCAAAGCCTCTACAGCTGCAGGTTGTTCTGAGCTGCTGGTGAAGTACTTCTGCGCCCAGGGCTCCCCAGGATGCTGATCCCCCCCTCTGCTGCCTCTCTTGCAGTGTCCCAAAGGTAGCTATGAATCTGCTTCATCCTCACCTCTGCCACTCTGTTCCTTCTGTTGCTTCCCTCTAGGCTTTCTTGTTCTCTGGTTTATCCCTTCTTCTTTTTACCTGGCTATTGACAAAGGCAGCAGAGCTTCACAGCCCCTCCCCCATCCGGAGCAGTTTCCATTTTTAGAGCCCCATTAGCCATCAGTGCCCTTTTGCTGTGAGGAAAGGAGGAAATCAGATAATCAGTGGGTCCACCCATTTAAAGAAATACATTCTTCGGATGGCTTGCAGAGCCAAAGAAAGTCATAGAATTTCCTCTGAATGATCTCAAGAAACGAGTTAGTGTGAGCAAATTTGGGATGAACTAGATTGGATGACTTTAGGGTCAATATTTTCTGACTTTTCCTCCATGGAAGTTTAAGATTCATTACTGCAGAGGTTCCAAGGTTTAATTATAAGTAAGGAGAGAGAAATGCTGATTTCTCTGAAGCGATGTAGTTCTAAACACTGATGAATGCACAGGCTAGCAGAGGTGTTGGGTTTGCTGGTAAAGGAGTAAACTTGTGCAGTCCTTGGTGTCCTATAGTTCCTGGTTCCTGGTTCGCTATAGTATGTGACATCAGAGGGTCTCTAGACCTGTTAACCAACTCCTCAACCTCCAACAGCTGCTTGATGCACAACAGAGCTTTGTTGGAATGTGAAATTTGAGATGCCTCAGTAGAAGGAAAAGCAACACGGCTGGTAAGGAGCTCAGTGAATCGGTCAAAACGAAGGCCAGTGAATAATGCTAGCGGTCCACAAGGGGGCAGGGGTGAGGTGGGTAACCTGCTGGGATCGGGGGAGTGATCTTTGGAGAGGGTATCAGTGAGTAGCCTGTTTCCTTATCTCACACAGCCTGGTGGTGATTTTTTTCCCCTTAAAAGTTGCCAAATTATTGTGAAAAGACCAAGTGAAAAGGAGAATAATTAAGTTGTAAGCAGTTTCTAGGACACAGACACAAGAAATGGCAGCCATAGCTGGATGTTAGAGGTTTCTCCTACGATGCAGAAGGAGTAATAGTTTCCCAGTATGAAGTCAAAAGCCAGATTCTCCAGGCTAAGATTTTCCTAGAGCTGCAGAAGGTATTTTCAGGAACCGGCCTTCTTACAAACCTAGGTGACCTTGCCCCCTTCCTGCTCTACACAGATTCAAATAGGCTCAGAGAGCTTGCTGGTACTGAAGGTTCCCAAGAACATCACCTACGTGATCCATTTGATCTTTCTTTTCAAAATAATCTATTTTAATGGTTCCCTCTTTCATCAGACAGAAAGAGGTCAGCCTGATAGGACATTTTATCCCCAGTCCATAGTACACTGTAGGGCAGGGCCGAAGTACCAGAATGTCTCAGGAAAATTACATCAGGATAAAATCTTTTCCTAATTTAAATTCATGAGACTGGGGTGTAGTTCAGTCTGCCTAGCATAAATGAGGCCCTGGGTTCACCCCCAGCACTGAAAAATAAATAAAATAACAAATAAATTCATGAACATGTTCCAGTTAAATGTTCTCTCATTTTACTAGGTTGTTAAGTTGGAAACCCTAGGTAAGGAATACAAACATCTAATAGTTGGATTTTTGTTTTTTATGTTTTGTGGGTTTTTCTTTTTTCTAGGTATTGTGGTGGCATAGCTTTTTGCTGAAGTCATGTTTCAATTCATCTAGAAAATAAACATTATTCTTAGTACATATTCATAAACCATAGTAAAAGGTGGGTATACAATCCATTTAGAAGGGGTTAGGAGCAATGGCTCAAGTGGTAGAGCGAAGCATAAGACTCTGTTTCAAACCCCAGTACTGCCAAAAACATGCCCCAAACAACAAAAATATTACATCTTTTAATCTTTAAATGAAAGCCCTTTTAAAAAACATGGTACATTAAAGAAATGAATTATTATGAAAGCATACTGACTATTTTATATTTCTGCACTTATATTTTAATAATTTGATATGCCTAGAAAGGTCATAGTTAGTCATTAAAGTAAATTTGTATTAATGAATTATTAAAATAATTAATACAGTAGACCATTTGCATTTGCACCAGCAGGTCTGGTTCCAAGAAGATGACCATTTCTACCATTGAGGGAAAAGTGCAATGCCCGGGATGCACAGAGCTCAGTCCTCTAACATCCCCCGAATTTACCTCGGCTGTGTGTTCAGTAGGTCATCCATCACTGGAGGCCGCACGTAGCAGGCTATTTCATTGTCACAAAATCACTGTTGCACACATCACTACTACTCAGCCAAAACTGAGATCTTACCTGCTTTTTATCTCCACTGCTGAGGATGCTTGATTCACTTTTTCCCATAACACCACCCAACTTTTGCTAAAGACAAATCTCATGTTCATTTCAGTGCTTAAATTAAGCACATTGGCTGCTTTTACCTTGCTTTTATATTTATTTATTTATTTTTCGTGACACTGGTTTGAACTTGCTGGGCAGGTGCTCTTACCCCTTGAGTCATTCTGCCAGCCCACCTATTTGCTTTTGGGAGTTAGATTTTCACAAATTAAAGGTAGGAAAACATTCAGTAGATCACAGATTTAAACACAATGCAGGACTGATGGAGAGCTTTTCCATATCAAGTGAACTGTGTGATGCGCATGAGAATTTAAAAGTTTTGTGTTTGAAATTTTTTTTATTATTTTTGGATGTGCTTGGTCACAGTCATGTGTATTTGTGGCTTACTGTAATGAAGTAAATTTTAGAAGACTAAATAAAGTACTTGTTATATATCAAGTCTAGTATTAGTGGCATTGACTGGAAAGATCCAGAAGGCAAAAGTGCTTTTCCTCCCTGTTTGAGGGAAAGCGGTGGTGGTTGTGCATTGTCCTGAGGGACACAGTGTTTGGAAAGGGCTAAGGACTAGCAGTGGCATGAGAAAGAAGAATCGTTAGGTCAGGAGAAGGCATTTGAGGAGTGTTGGTCTCGGGAGATCAAATTTTAAGTCTCATACCACAGAGAATTTTAGCAAGGTATAATTGACATATAGTGTACATATTTAACTTACAATATAAGTTTTGACATTCTCATGCATACATGAAACCATCATCACAATCACAATGGTGACCATGTCCCTCACTCCCAAAGTTCTTGTTCTTCTCTGTAATTCCTCTTCCTTCCCCTCAACCCTCCCTCTTCCTTCCCCTCAACCCTCCCTCCCCCAAGCAACCAGTGATATGCTTTCCACCATTATAATTTATCTAGATTTATATAGACTCATACAGTATTACTGCCTATTCTCTGACTTCGTTCACTCAGAATAATTATTTTGGTATTTATGCATGTTGTGTATTAATAATTCACTTTAAAAAATAACAGTATTCCATTGTATTGATATATCACAATTTATTCATTCACTTATGAATGGACATTTGGGGTTTTTTCTACTTTTGACCTTTGTAAACATGTCACAATACTTGCAAACACTTTAAAAATGATAATTATCAAACCTGAGCTTTGTTAATGTATATGAAAGGAAATTGAAAGGTCATGAAATGCTGCAATATATTTTTCATCCTCATTTCTCTATGAAAGACCTTGCCTCCATTTGACTACTTAAGAATCCAAACCAGGTGTGGTGAGGCTCGTCAGTATTCCCAGCACTTGGGAAGCAGAGGCAGGAGGATGCCAAGTTCCAGGCCAGCCTGGGCAGGAGATCATGTCTCAAGGAATCCACACACACACACACACACACACACACACACACACACACACTCCTCCCCCACCATTAACAATAACAACACAAGACAAAACACCACCTTCTAACCTTGAATGATAGGAAAATTACAAGTTCACTGTGTGGACCAGTGGGGAGGGTACTACATACAAAGGAGGACACACACACACCCACACACTCCTCCCCCACCATTAACAATAACAACACAAGACAAAACACCACCTTCTAACCTTGAATGATAGGAAAATTACAAGTTCACTGTGTGGACCAGTGGGGAGGGTACTACATACAAAAGAGGAATTTGGTGTTGCTTCATTATTTCTGTAGATTTGCACCTTTAATATCTATTACATAGGTTAAACAGTGCTTGGCAAGTATCTTTTTTTTTTTTTTTTTTTGGTGGCACTGGGGTTTGAACTCAGGGTCTCAGGTTTACAAGGCAGATGCTCTTACTGCTTGAGCCATTCCTCCAACCCTCTGTATGCTTTTAACTATTCAGTGTGAACACGTTCTGGGGCATGGCTGTTCTCCCCTCACAGCTAGGCCTGGCTTCCTTTGGCAGTTTCTGGCATCTGAGTACCTCTTTAGTGTGGAGTGCGTCTGGTCAAGAAGGTGAGTTAAGAATTCGGTGTAAATCAGTGCTGGGGACATTGTTCAAGCGGCAGAGCGCCTGCCTAGTATGCGTAATGACCTGATTTTAAACCACAGTAAAGAAGAGTTAGGTATTGATCAAAAAATAAAATAAATTTTTTTTAAAATATGGAACGCTTCACGAATTTGCATGTCATCCTTGCGCAGGGGCCATGCTAATCTTCTCTGTATCGTTCCAATTTTAGTATATGTGCTGCCGAAGCGAGCAAAAAATAAATTAATTTTTAAAAAGAATTATTTAGCCTCCTCCTTGAAGCCGGATAATTGGCCAATTTTTCTCATAGTGCTGTTGTGCTCATTCCCTCCAAGAATCCCGTGCGGGCGGAGCTGCGCTTTCTCCTGGATCTTGCATGACAAATCCCAGGACACACAGCAAGCCACTGGGACTGTGTCCCTCCTTGGCTGGTTTTTGCTTTCGGAGCCTTGGTTTTCTTCTAGGAGTGCTGCTAGGAGGACGGAGGGGCAGGGGCCTGCAAACGAGGCAAGCACGCAGGGGTGGACGCTATGGTCCCTTGCAGCCTTTTCCCTTCCTCACCGGGGCTCGCTGTTCTGCAGTGCTCAAACTCTGCCCTCCAAGCGCTTCCACCGCCAGCCTCCCCACTCATGGTTTCTGTGGTGGCAGCGTCAAAACCAGATACTTTTCTTACCCTTTCATCGATTCAAAGAATAAAGACCTACTGCATGTCGAGGGGGTTCTGACCTGGGGCTCACTAAGTCCACTTCCAAAGTTCTTTAAATGCCCACGTGCATTTGCCGAGGGGACCTTGACTTTCATCAGGTAGTCAAGAGGGTTCTCACACGAAAAGAACGTAGAATACAGTTCCAGCCCTTCCTATTAAATAAATAACCTGAAGACCTGCTGCGAGTTGAGTTTTAACCCTGGTTCTCCAGAAACCCAACAGCCTCCTTTCCCACCTCTTCCACGATTTTCACAAGCCCCGGTTAGGGGCGGGACGACTCCGACCGCGCCTGACCCCGCCCACTCCCCGCCCCGGGGCGGGGCGTATCTACTGGGCATGCTCAGTACTCAGGCTTGGGTTGGTCGCCTAGGCGGAAGCTCGAGCGTAGAGCGTGCGTGTTTTCCCAGGTTGCTTCGTGCTGCGGTCATGGCCGCTTCCTTGTGCGGGTATCTGCACATGAGGTTTTAGTTCTGTGGGAGTCTTTACTGTAGCTGTTGCCACTAGACGTCGGCCACTCTGACCCTTTTCCTTTCACTTTTCGGTGACTCCTGTGTGATTCTCGTAGGAACCCGATTTGGCTGCAGCGATGTCCGGGGTGATGTGGACCCCGGAGCTGGCAGTTCTGAGGGGTTTTTCCACTGAGGCAGAGCGGCAGCAATGGAAGCAGGAGGGGATGCCTGGTTCAGGTGAGACGGCCGCACCTACAGGGACTTCGTCCAGCATGGGGGCTCCGAGGGCAAGGGATGCCAGCCCTGGATTCTCATCCCTCCTTGTCCCCCTTCCCAAGCCCCACACCAGTATCTAGTCTTGGGGTTGTTGAGCCCTTGACGTGGTGGGCGGGGTCCTCAGGTTATTTGTGAGTCTTTCGCCTAAACTTTTCACTGCCCTGGCTCGGTAATAACAACGGCAATGTTACTTTCTTTTCTAAGCCCTTAACATTTATTCAGTCATCGAATCCCTATAATAGACTGTAGATACTACTTTTAATCTCATTTTGCAGATGAAGACATTTACGTACAGATTGGTTAAATAATTTGCTGAAAGTCACAGAGCTAGTAAGCAGAAAAGCTAAAACGAGGTAGCGAAGATGTAATTTTTGTGAACAATGCACATTTACTAGAGAGATAAAGAGGAACATTTGGTGTGTTTCAGGCACGTCCGAAAAATAACGAACAGCATAAAGCTGTCTCTCTCTCTTCCCCCCTTTCTCTCTCTCCCCTCTCTCCAGCCTGTCCTCCCTCTCTCTTTTCCTCCCTCCTCTCCCCCTTTTCCTCTCTCTCTCTGGGTTTGTGTGAGTGTACATACAAAGAAGGTGTCAGGAGGGAAGAAACTTGAAAGCTGGTGTTCTGCAAAGGTTTCATGAAAGGTCAGACGAGCTGATTTTTTATTTAGGACTGATAAGTGGAGAATAGTTCAGCAGGAAAAATTACAAGTGCAAAAAGTGTAGGGGCCAGAAAGTGAAGTGGCTGGGGAACTTGAGGGGAACAATGGGTGAGCAGCATGACTTAATGATGGGGATTAGTCGTTGTAGGAAGAGCCAAGAGTGTGAAACGTTTTAGGGCCCTGGCTTAGGAAAATTTTCTGCTGTCAGTTGAAATCTTTGTGAATTTCCTAGCAGAAGAGTAACAGTGGGTATTCTTGTTATTATTATTATTTCTTGGTATGACATCCACTTTACTGCTCATAGTCAGTATAGGTGAACTTTGAATTCCAGGAGAGGTGATGTTCATAGTATGAGAGGGATTTCTCAGTGCTTTGTGATGAATGTACCACTTTTTTTCTAAGTACCACTTTTTTGCACTTCAAAATGGTATTTCCTAATAGATTATCCTTTAAAGTATGAAAACATTGTTCCTTTGACTTCCTGGACTAATGTTTCATATTACAGAGAGTGGATCTTTCTTACAATTGCTGTTACAAGGAAGCTATGAGGCCATATTCTTGCATTCAGTGACTCAAAATATTTTAAATTCAACAACGATGACTGAAGAAAAGATTGACAGCTACCTGGAGAAGCAGATAGTAACATTCCTGGATTGCTCCAAAGATTTGGATGAAAGAGAAAGGTAGAATTTTATTTGAAATTTTCATAGAGAAACTGACTTTGAATGCATAGTGATAGTACCATGGCATGAATACATGTTAAGAACACATGTAATCAGCACCTGTAAGCCACTGATTCTAGCTGTTGCTGAGAAACCTGGACTCATGGTGTACCATGTTGTCTATATAAGGTCTCCTGTCCAGAAGACTGTTCAGAATGAAAAAGTAAAGTGAGACAGCATGAAAGAGTTTTGTATGTGAGACTGGTACTTAATTGCCTGACATCTGCTAATCCATTGAGCTTCCAAATACTTAAATCATACAGGTTTTATTCATAGGCAAGATGTTAGAACTTATTTCCTTTTGTCTTATAGTCATGTGCCTCAAATCTTGTGATTTCTAGATTACTGAGTGATACATACATTATTATCTTTGAAGAACTTATCAAGAGAACTTATCAGAGAACTCCATGTTTTTATTATGGAACCCTTGGTTTATCTTCTTCCATTAAAGTTTGTATAATTTTATAGTATTACTTATAGTGGGGCAGTGAAATCTAAGCCTTTCAGTTGCTTTTATTCTATCATTGTAGATTTGTTAATATTTGTAGATTTCCTCAACTATCTGTCATCCATGTCAAATTTAATTACCTTGAAAGCCCATGCAATTTTATGTTTGTATTATATCCTTACAGGGGATGATTTTATTTAGTCCTTCAACAAGTAAATCAACTACTTTGTTAGGTTGTTGAAGTTGTAAAGATAAGTAAGACATAACCCATATCCTAAATAGCTTACCAAGAAGCGTTACTATAGGCTTTTGATTTTATTTTTTTTAAATTTGATATAATTCCTTTTCATTTTTCTGGTTTCCTTGTAGTTTACATTCCTGCAACATCACTGTTGATTCTTTCGTGAGACAGTGTCTCACTATATTGCACAGGCTGGCCTTGAACTCACAGTCATCCTGCCTCAGCCTTCCAAAAGTGCTTGAATTCGGGTGTGCACCACTGTGCCTGGCTCATTCTTGATTCTTACTTTGCATTCTAATATGTTTGTACAGCATAGCAGCTGGCCTTGTGCTACCCATTAACACACACACACACTCATGTAAGTATACAAATGCATTATTTCACTACTAGAGCAGAGTTCTAGCATGAAAAGCGACATTTCCTTTGATTCATTTTAGCTATTTTGAAAATTAAACTGTATTCTCAATTCACCTTAAAGATTTTTTTTTTAAGATTTTGTTTTTTAGTTAGGACAGTTGAATTAAGGCCTTAAGATCTTGCTGCACACTTGTTTTTTCCATTTCCTCTCTTCTAACTATGGACAGGCTCTCTATGTCACCTTTTTTCTCAAGTGCTGTGTATCTTTGCTGTCAACTGCACTGCATCCAGACTTTATATTCTGGCTATCATAGGGCTTTTTTTTTTTTTTTTTTAAAAGCAAAACATTTTTATTAGCATATAACAGTTGTACAGGGGCTCCATTTTGACATTTCCATATATACTTACAATGTACCTTGCTTAGGTTCATCCCTACCATCATCCTCCCTCATTGCCCACCCCCCTCCACTTAAATAATTTCAACAGGTTTCATTGTTATGTTTTCCTACAAGTATATAAAGTACATCAACCTTATTCACTCTTCTTCAACCTCTCCATTCACTCTCCCCCTCCAGTTCCCACTCCCTAACAGGACCTGTTTTACATTTCTGTTCATTTTTCCCCCTCTTTTTTATTTTTCCTGTCCTTCATTTTTTAAAGTGTATATTCACTGTTTAAAGGGGTTTTGTCATGGTGTTTCAACTGTGAATATATTGCATATTAATCAGATTAATTTCCTTTATTACACTCCCTTCGTCTTTCTCTCATACCCCCAATTATTCAACAGCTTTTAATGCATTTTTGTTATGTCTTCTTCCTACACAAATGCAATATATTTTGATATTATTCACTATCATTCTCTTTTCCTCTTCCTCTTCTACTATTGCAAATATGTTCTCTCTCTCTCTCTATATATAGGCATGTTTGTCTTTGTGTATATTGTTTATCTTTCACACCTGTCTTTCACATATGAGAGAAAACATGACTGTTGTCTTTCTGAATCTGGCTTACTTCTCTTAACATGATGAGCTCCAGTTCTATCCATTGACCTACAAACAACATAATTTCATTCTTCTTTTTTTTTTTTTCTTATGATGCTGGGGTTTGAACTCAGGGCCTACACCTTGAACCATCCACCAGCTTTGTTTTTGTGGTGTGTATTTTTGAGATAGAGTCTTGCAAACTATTTGCCCAGGCTGGCTTTGAACTGTGATCTTACTGATCTCTGCCTCCTCAGGAGCTAGCATTACAGGTGTAAGCCATCAGTGCCTGGCAATTTCATTTTTCCTTATGACTGAATAAAACTCCATTTTTGTGTGTGTGTATATCACATTTTCTTAATCTATTTATCACTTACAGGGCATTCTGTTTTCCACAGCTTGGCTATTGTGAATAGTGCTGCAATAAACATAGATGTGTAGGTGTCTCTATTGTGTTCTAACTTACATTCCTCGAATATATGTGCAGGAGTGGTATCTCTGCATTGTATGGTAGTTTTGTTTTTAGTTTTTTGAGGACCCTCCATACTGCTTTCCATACTTATTATACTAATTTACATTCTTACCAACAGTTCTCTTTTTCCCACATCCTTGCCAACATTTGTTTGTGTTCTTGATGAAAGCCATGTTTAAAATTTTTTTTCTTTTGAGGAAGGGCCTAGGGGTTGTAGAAGGAGAGGTTAACTTTTCTTCCTTTTTTTTTTCTTCAGAATGAAACTCCATGATTCCCTGGCTGGTGTTGCTAGAGTTCAATCCCCTACCTTTTTATGTCTGTTTGTTTGTTTGTTTGTTTTGGCAGAACTGGAGTTTGAATTTAGGGCCTCATGCTTGCTAGGCAGGTGCTCTACTACTTGAGCCACTCCAACAGACCTTTTTTGTTTTGGGTATTTTCGAGATAGAGTCTTGAAAACTATTTGCTCAGGCTTGCTTTGAGCCTTGAGCTTCCTGATCTCTGCCTCCTGAGTGACTAGGATTACAGCTGTGAGCCACCAGTGTCTGGCTCCTACCTATTTTTGTCTTAATCTAGGGGTTGACAAATTATATCTACTGTGCTAAAGTGGCTAAGAATGGTTTTGTACATTTTAAAAGGTTGGGGAAAACTAACAAGTACACAGGATCTAAAATATTTCATATTTCATCTGTCCTGTAGGTTTCTGTCCAAGTTTAGGGCATGCTTTTATTCTAGCAGTTAGTGGTACAGGGTCAGTAAAATGTTAGAACTTTTAATTGCCAATTTTCTTTTGTATAAAGTCTTTTTTTTTTTTTTTTTTTTTTTTTTATTAAACATCTTCTGGCCATGTCAGAGTTGTTAATAGGATGAAGAAAAAGTTACAGGTGGTGCCTGATTAGAACCTTAATCGAGGTCCGGGAGTATTTTCTGTGATGATGGGAGTGTTCTATATCTGCTGTGTGCAGTATAGAAGCCATTAGCCACAGTTGACTATTGAGCACTGCGTAACTAAGGACTGCATTTTAAATTTAATTTAATTTAAACTAAATAAATTAAATTTAAAAGAGCACATGTGACTCATGGTTGTAGTATTGGACATTCTAGACCTAATTTGTCCTGAATTTCAGAATTGTTTTTTGATATCTTCTTCTTAATAAATGTGAAATTCAGTGCTGGGGCATGACTTAAGTGATTTAGAGCTCTTGTCTAGCAAGTGCGAGGCCCTGAGTTCAAAACTGCAGTACTGGGGGAGATGGCACAAACAATGTATACACATGTAAGTAAATGTAAAAACGATAAAAGGAGGAAAAAATAAAACAAATCTGCAGTACTACCAAAAACAAGCAAAAAAGTGAAATTTAATAGTCTGTTTTGAGATTATATGGTGATGGTGTTTCGTATTTATTTCTTTAACCATTCTTATATGCAGGCAACAGCTGGTATTCCTACTTGGTGTGAACAGCTTGCAACTTTTTGTTCAGAGCAACTGGACGGGACCTCTTGTAGATTTGCACCCTCAGGATTTTTTGCCATCTTTCTTGTTCCAGCAGTTCAGTGAGGTATGCTTCTTGAAAATATCATATGTAGTTAGTGTTGTATTATTTATTCTTTACAAACATTCTTTTCTAAGTTGGAGTTAACAGTAGATAGGAAAGAAATATGATGTTGAGGCTCACACAAAAGTAGTAAGAATGCTTGTTCAGTGATAAATTTTCTAGTATTTCTGGATGTTTTTACGGACAGTCTCAAACTCTTCAGACACTCTCCTTTTTATGGAGCTTTGTAAACTGCTCTTTTTGTCAAAGTACAGACAGCTGTACCTGTTACCACTAGCTTACAATACCACAGTTACATGATGATCTTTGCAGGAAAAGCAACAAATTTGGAAGTCTGTTTGTTGCAGGTAACTTTTGCTGCTGTGCTTAAGAACCACTCCTAGAGCTGGGCCCTGGTGGCTCTTGCTTGTGACCCTAGCTACTTGGGAAGCGGAGATCAGGAGGATAGCGCTTCAATGCCAGCCTGGGTAAATAGTTCTTGAGACCCTATCTCGAAAATACCCAATGTAAAAAAGGGCTGGTGGAGTAGCTCAAGTTGTAGAGCACTTGCCTAGCAATTGTGAGAGCTTGAGTTTAAGCCTGGTACTGCCTCCTCTCTCACACCACTGGTCCCCCCCCCACAAAAAAAAAAAAAAAAAAAAACTCCTGGGGCTTTTCCTTTGTTTTGATGGTATTGGGGTTTGAACTCAGGGCTTTGCATTTGTTAGGCAGGTGCTCTACCACTTGAGCCATACTTTCAGCCCCCAGATTTTCCTTGTGTTATGGTGGAGTATGAAATGTCCTCCATAGGCTCATGTACTGGGGGCTTGGTCGCATGCTTTAGGGAAGTGATTGGATCCTGCCTAGGCAATGGATTAATCCTTTGATGGGTTCATAATATGATGGCATTATTGGGACATGGTAAAAAGTAGGCTTGGGGGCCTAGTTGGATGAAATAGGTCACTGGGGTGGCCCTTGGAAGCTATATGTTTCCCTGGCCCTTTCCTGTATTCCCTTTCTCTCCTTTGTGTCCATGATGAAGTGAAGAATCATGTGCCCTCATTGCCATGATGTTCCGCCCAAGGCATGGGCCAAGTGACCATGGATTGAACCTTCTGAAACTGTGTACCTAAATAAATAATTCCTCTCTAAGTTATTCTCTCAGGTATTTTGGTTACAGTGATGATAAAACTGACCAACACATTTATATTACAAATACTTAAAGACCTTGGCATAGAGGTGCGCTGTGGTGATAACAGTCAAGTGTGAAGAGAAGATTGACCTACATCTGTAGGTTAGCAGTAGACCTTGCAGTATGAATTCATCAGCAATGTTTTGAGCACTCATGCTTAGGGCTTGCTGAGTATGAAGTGATCTACAAATGAAATATGGTAACTTTGATTTTTCCAGCCACCTCAATCATTTTGAACTTGGCTGCTAATCACTCAGACTGGAAAAAGGGCCCCTTAACATTCAAAGCTTACACAGCAAAGGGACCTACATGTTTACTGTTACCTGGTTTCTCAGACTTAGAAGTAGAAAATAAGTGTGAATGAAGTTATTAGAGATAGGTATTAATGATTTGGTGATAGAACGGAAAGAGAAGTACAAAAGCAGGCATAGTCTGAAAATAGTACTTAGTTTTGTGTGTATCAGCTTACTGTCTATATTACAGTAGAGTAATTGAAGTTCATTGAAAAGTTAACAGATCTTTCATATCTAGTCTAAGAAGAGATTTTATAATTTACACTTTACGAAGGGTTTCATTGAAATAGGAAAAAATATCTACCCCAAAGATCATGGTACTTACAGAGAAAGTTTCTGTTTCTAGAAATTAACTCATAAGGAACATCTGAATCTCAATTATTGTGTATGAAACAGTTTCTGGTTTCTCTGGCCCTTAATGTAGGTCAGAAATCCCCCTAATAGAGTTGTAAATATTTACTGAGTATTCACATCTGTTTTTTATTTTATTTTTTTTCTTCAATGTTTGGGATCAAACCCTGAGCCTCACATATGCTGGCATGCATTCTAACACTGAGCTACACCCCCCTAGCCTGAATTTCTGGTTTGAATGTTGCTTAATTCACATGTGTTAAGTTAGTTAGGTCCTTACAGGTTTGAAGTATTCAGTTGGATGTGGTGGTGCCCAATACTACCACCACAGAAACTGAAAATCATGTGTTTGAGTCCAGGCTGGGCAACGTAGCAAGTTCAAGGCCAACCTGGGCTACATAGTGAGACTTTTATTAAAAACAAAAAACAAAACAATAAAACCCCACCAGATTTGAAGTATACTACAGCTAAGAAGACTATAGCTTAGAGTGGTGAAAGAAACTTGTCCAAGGTCTTATAGCTGGGGGATTGGAATCCATATTGGTTCATATCTAGTACTGTCTGCTCTAGGAGTGCAGAAGCACTTGTAAATTGGAGTGACAATGCAAAATGTGTTAGGTGAGAAGTTCAGACCATAAGAGATGATGGCATTAATGGAGAGATTTCTAGAAAATGATGTTGGTCAAAGCAGACTTTTTAGCTGGGAGTTGACCTTGAGCTAGAACCTGAAGGATACTAGGAAATGGATAAAGAGAGAAGAAGAGGAAGTGTATTCTAGGTTTGGTCATATGAACAGAAATTTAGAGGGGAGAAGATCATGGGGTTTGTGAGGAACGGACGCTATGTGTTGTTGGAGTAGCAGCAGGAGATCAGATTTGATGGATCATGCCAGACTATAGGAAAGTTTGACAAAGATGTTGATTTTTTTGTTGTTGTTTGAGACAGGGTCTCACTGTGTAGCCCATGCTGGCCTTGAACTTATGATACTCATACATCTGTGTCCGAAGTGCTGTGAACCACCATGCCTGGCTAAGACCTTGATTTTAATTTTTGAAGCTACCTTGGACTTCAAAAGAATATATGAAATGTGTACGGTGTAGACAATAAATCTCCTTTGAACTCAGCACTAAGCCTGAGAGGAAGCATTACCAGTGTCATAGAGCAGAGTTTCTTACTGCATCTCCACTTTAGGGGTTGTGTGGGCCCTGGGTTGGTGAGAACCTTTAAACTTGTATCTTGTTGCTTAGCAGATGTCTCTATTTTCCTGGTGAGCACTATAAATCAAGCCTTTTTTTTTTTTTCTTGATGCTGGGAATCTAACCCAGGGCTGAGCATGGTAGGTAGGTGTTAACACCTGAGCTGAATTCCCAGCTCCCGAACCATTTCCTCTGTATGCTTTGATTCAGAAAGATTGAGAAGTACTGCCTTAGAAGATCCCTTGTGTATACTTCTCTGATCCCTGCTCTCCTGAACCACTCTCATGAATTTTGTGTTAATCATTCCATGCTTTTCTTCATGATTTTAGCACCTATGTATGAATCCCTAGAAAACATTGTTTAATGTTACCAGTTTTTGTCTTTTTTATGTAAATGAAAGTGTATATACTACTTTTGACTTCTCTTGCTCAGTGGTATACTTTGAAATTATACTGTTATTCAGTGCTACTGTTGTATAGTATTTCAGTTGTCTGAATAATCATTATATAGGTGTTTCTGTTTTTTGGATTATTATAATGCTATTAGGAACACATTTTCTGAACATTATTTGTAAGACTTTCAAAGCATTTAAAAATGATAGTACTTGTTTTGTGTAGTGCAGTACATGAAGGAGGCCATTTTTATTGTTTTCCTAGGCTATACTTTGCCACCCTGAGGGCTGGAGATAAGTATTTCAACACAATTATGAACCCTCCTTGACACTGAGTTGGAAGTTCTGCTGTATTAGTTTATTTAGGCTGCTATACTCAGAATGCCATAAACTGGGTAGCTTAGCACAACAGAAATCCATTTCTTATAATTCCAAAGACTGAAAAGTCCACAATGAAGGTTCTAGCAGATCAGTGTCTGATGAGGCCCCACTTCTTCATAGATGTTACTTTTTAACCTTTCACATGGTGGGATGTGAAAGCTAATTGTCTGGATTTATTTTATAAAGGCACTAATCTCAATCATGAGGACTCTATCCAATCACCCACCAAAGACCCCACTTCCTAATACCATCACCCTGGGGGTAAGGATTTCCTCATGTGAATATTAGGGGAACACAAACATTTATGCATAATGTCTGCTGTAATATCTGTATCTGTGAGTGGAGTTGCCGTGCATACACCAAGAGGTGTATATGCATGTTGAAATTTTCTTGATAGTGCTAGGTTGTTTTGCAAAAAGGTTTCCACAGTTTTTAGGCCATCAGTGATCTGAGAATTTTATCATTTATTTGGAAGATGGAGGGAGTTCAAGCTTTTAAGCTGGAGAGTAGCACTTAGTACTTTGTAGCTGTTATTTTCCTATGCTGATTCATCTTCCTTAGTTCTTATAATGTATAAATGTTTGCAAATACACTTTATGTCAAGGAATATAATCACTAAAACAAAATTAATTTTACCTGCTTCTAATTTATGACCTTAGCATTTGTAGGGCTTGGCACTGGTGCTTATCAGCCCCAGAGGAACAGCACTGAAGGTCTGTGTCAGAGCAGTAGGTTACCTCTCACACAGAAAGGTTTATCTCATAGAATCTGGTTTTATATTAAGTTTGTCTCAGACTTGTAGATGTTGAATTTTTTTCCTGTATTATGCTTGCTAATGAATATGTATTTTTATATGTCTCTGTTCTCTTGATTGGAAATTCTTCCTTAGGGAGTTCTTTTCCCTTTGCTTTGTCTGTTTTTATTGAAAATATGAATAATCCTCTTTAAAATGGACTATACCAAAACCTCTGGAAGCACATTTAGAACTCAGTTGGTAAGTCAGTTTTATGTCACAGGGGTAGGAGGGTATAGACAAGCATTAATCTTTTCCACAGTATTGTAATGTTAACAGAAGGAAGAGAACTTTGTTTATTTGGTTACTTATTCATTCACTCACTTTATTATTTGCCTTATTTGTTAATACTGACTCTAGAAAGCTGGAGAGTTGAAGAGTAGGTTAGTTAACCCCCGGCATTAAGTATCAGGCATAATGATAACATTGGCTAACTTGGATTTTAGTTAGAAGATAATGATCTGAAATTTGTGCTGAAACAGGTAGACATATTTCTTGTCTTGATGTGATTGGGATAAGGATTCTTTCTCTTAAAGGCATATCTTCTGTTTTCCTGTGCTTCACCAGTGTGACTTGGAAAACATTGTTATATCCATCTGAGTTTGTAAGATGATTCAATGAGACTGTGGTCTAGTTAGGGTAATTAGGCAGGTCCTTCTCTTAAGTTCTTATGTTAATATATTCACTTGTATGCATTTCCTGTCACTGCAGTTCTCATAAGTTATAGATCTCAGATTCATCATGTCCACAACTGAACTCATAGAGAAGTTCTTTTCCAGACCAAACCTCTTCTTGTATCTGACCTCAGTTATCCACAGTACTGCAGTGTCATTATGCTAGTGAGAAGATTAAAGGCCTGTTCTGGCCTTTTAATGCCTAGCATAGCCCTGGCCTTGCTGAGGGCCAGGGGAAAGAGGATGAGAGATAAGGTAGTGTGGGGCAGTGCTTTGAGATTTGGAAGACCTGGCCTTCATTTTGTTTGAAATGGGGTCTCTATGTTACTCAGGCTGGTCTTGAACTCCTAGTCTTAAGACACCGTACTGCCTCAGCCTCCTATGAGGTTGGGACCACTGGTGTATTCCACCACACCTAGCTTAACTTTTATGGATCTATTTCTTCCCTTCTAAAATGGAGGCAGCTGTAGTAACTTCAAGAAGGTTTCTTTTTCTTTTTTTATAAAGTAGGATTTGTTAGAGAGAAAGGAAAGGCTACAGCTAGAGAAAAGTAGCAGAACCTGTAAGCCGGTAGCTCCAAGAAGGTGTCTTAATTGAAAGTTTTTAAAAAAATTTTTTTAATATAGTGCCAGGGTTTGAATTCAGGGCCTTTTGCTTGCTAGGCAGGGTACTCTTTCACTTGAGCCATGCCTCCCAGCTCAACACAGATACTTTGTTCATGGTGGAAAAATCTCTTTCAACAGAGAAATAGATTTTTCAAAGGCATCTTATTTTTGGAGACAGCTATTCACTCTAGACTATAGTTGTATGCCTACTCAGTTGTTTTGGTTTTAGTGTTTTTGAGGCAAGGTCTTGTTATATAGCCCCATCTGGCCTTGAACCTGTGATCCCTCTGCTCAGTATTAGATGTGTGAGACCTGATTGATGGTTTGGCTTGATGGAACTTGTGGAGTAGAGACATGCTTTGTATTGATCTTTGCCAGTTAGTGAAGCATAAGTGAAAAATAGGTATTTAATATAAATCCCTTCACATAGGGGGTGCGTGTTACTGGTATTTTGTTGAAGGTAAATCTGTGAAGTCATTTCTTCAATGCTAGCATTTTCTTGAGTTCCCTGTTCTCTCTCACTTTCTCCCTCTCCCTCCCTCTCTTTTTTTTTTTTTGAGGTACTGAGGATTGAACTCAGGGCCTCAAGCTTGCTAGGCAGGCACTCTTAGCACTTGAGCCACTCCACCAGCCCCCTCTTTAATTCTTTTTTTTTTTTTTTTGAGACAGGGTCTTGCTCTGTTGCTCAGGTTGGCTTTGAACTTGTGAGCTCAAGTGATCCTCCTGCCTCAGCCTCCACCTCCCATATAGCTGGAACTGCTGGTGCACACGTCTGCACTGGTTAATCTTTCAGAGTTTTTGCTTTATGGCTGAGTTTCTTGCTTCTCTAAAGTTAGAGAACATGAGTGACCATTTGTTAGGGTAGGATGGATTTGTAGTTCTCTAAGGACATTTGTAATACTCTGATTGTGTGTGGTGTTAATTGTCATAGATTAGAGTTCTTATTTCAAAATTGAATTAACTAGAACTTTTTGTGTTTTTATAAGACATATAAAGATGAATATTTTGTTTAGTTCTATCATTTTAACCTATAAACTTTTTCAGGTCAAAGGACTAGATGCAGTTGTTCTGAGCCTGCTTATTCTAGATGGTGAATCAGTCTACAGCCTGACTTCGAAGCCTATTCTGCTGTTGATTTCTCGCATTATCCTAGTGAATCTAAGACATAAGCTGACAGCTATCCAGGTAAGACAAGGAAAGGATCTGTGAGATTCTTAGCAAGACCATGTCTCAGAAAGGGAAAGAGACAGATAGAGAGAGACAGAGACAGGGTCTTGCTATGTAGCCCGTGCTGGCCTCAAACTTGAAAAACTCATGATCCTCTAATCTCAGCCTCCTGAACGCTAGGATTACAGATGTATACTACCACACTCGTCTACAGCGCAGTATTTTAATAGATGGGTTTCAGTGTGTCCTAGGAGGGGTGAGGCTTATAGTGACAGTAACTTGAGTAAATAAATTTTTTTCCAATTTGATCTGTATTGAACGGTCTTATAGATTATTACTGTGTTCTAAAGAAAGTCATCAAGGTGTAAGATTGTCAGATCGCACACATTATTGGGTGCCTTTTGAGTACACTACTGATCACTGCCCTCTGGGAGGTTCTTAACCAGAGGAATTCTTACTCAGACAGTTCTGTAATCAGGAGACAGGTTTGAGAGTGTCCAAAAGTAAAGGCTTCAGCTGGGCATCTGTGGCTCAAGCCTGTAATACTAGCTACTTGGGAGACTGAGATCGGGAGGATCATGGTTTGAGGCCAGCCCAGGCAATAGTTTGGGAGACCCCATCTCCAAAATAACCAGAGCAAAATGGACTGGGGGTGTGGCTGAAGCAACAGAGCACCTGCTTTGCAAGTGTGAAGCCCTGGGTTCAAACCCAGTCCCACAAAAGAAAAAGAAAAAGGATTCAACTTTCCTTTTTTATTAATGCCTTAGTTTTTCTGATAAGCAACTCTGGGCAATGTAAGGTACTTACAGTTTCTGGTAAAGGAATAGACTGTGATTTCTGTATTTGTTTCATATTCTCCTCTCCCATATACAGATTTTGGCTTAAGAGTTAAAATTTAAAGATTTGACTTTTATAAGAGTTCAGCATCGTATTTCATATGTTTTCTCAAAAGGGCAATCTTTTTGACTAGAGGCATCTAAATTCCCATGTCTTGAAAAGGGAGGAAAAAACTGCCAAACCTGACTCACTCGTTGCTGACAGCCAATAGGGACAGATAATAGAAATGTAGACTGACGCCACTAGCCTTTATGATAGAAAGAGAAGGAAAACAAGGCAATACTTCAGGGAACTAAGTTAAAAGTTTTTTGAGACTTCCTCTCTATTAGATAATCGTAATTTCCTTAAATGGGTTGAAGTAATAATTAGGAAGGATTTTATCAGGTTCAAAACTCATTTGTGGTTGCATCATTATTGTAGCAGTTGAGAAGGGGGCCCCTTGAGACATTAAGTTCAAGTAAAGCAATGCTTTTGATAATCAGGTCTGGTCTCTTATCAGTAGGTTTTGCTGTTTAAAGAGGAAAATTAGTTTCTTATGCCTTCCTGTCATGCAACTCAAGGCAGCGATTCAGCACATGCTCGTATTTCAGACTCTATGAGCCTAGCAAAGATGCCTGTTATGGCCTGCACAAATATACACATAAAGACATGCACACGCACAGAGGACAGCCTAGAACAGAAGCCTTGCCAGAGATTTTTCACTCTTCACTGCATATGCTTCTATACTAGCTTGTTATAATTTCTTGTTCTTTTTTTTTTTTTTTTCTAATGAGGATGTATTGGTCAAGTAAGAACAAGCATCAGAGAACAAAAGAAAAAGCCATGAATTGCTCAGCTTGTACATTAGTCAAGCCAATGTGTAAAGTGTAGTCTCTACCCTCAAAAATATATGATCCAGGTAGAGTTAGACATTTGAAAAACCAGAGCTGGCCAATGTGGTGCCAACTTCTAGCATAGAGGTTGAGAGAGGTGAGAGATCAACGTGTGCCCCACTAGTACAGAAGGTATCATGAAAGAGGTTTCCCAAAGATATAGAAGGGATCTTCCCAGTTTTGAAGGATATCTGAATCTAAGGTATTTCTTATTAGGCCGTTTGTGTAAAATACATTGTTTTGAGGCGGGTACAGAGATGAGTAAGACTTTCTCATCTCATTGTTTAGATGGGGACTGGCATTGAAGCCCAGGGATGACTTACCACAGATACAGTGGAATGTGCTCACAAAGGGAAGTGGGTTAATGTGCTGCAAGTTCAAGCGAGGGTGAATTCAGCCCCAGTGTGGGTGTGTGGGACTCTTGTGGGAGGCTCCTGGGAGATGATGGTACTTGGGATATGGTAGTGAGAGAGTGCGACGGCAGAGCAGGATGCTTGCAACAGGCATTTTAAAGGAGAAGATGGGCAGTCTAAAAGGGGCTAAAAAGGGAAAAAATACAGCCTTTGAGAGAATGGATATGGAAGACAAAGTGGATTTTGGTAGGATTGAAAACTGCAGGAGAATTCCAAGATGGCGGCTAGAGCCGGCACAGAGAATCTCCACTTCACGTTAAACGGAGAACCGAGGAGGCCCCCGGGCCGCCAGTGGCCGGCGCCCATACGGCTTGGGAAGACGCGGACCAGGTGAGCTTCGCGGTACCGCGGTTCCCCCACAGACAAGCCTGGGCCAGAGCAGCATAGCCCCCTGGACAGACTGACCTCCACCCGGGAAAAAAAGAGAAACTGAGTACTAAGCGATAAGAACAGTTAAGACACGCTGGAAAGAGGGTGGGGCGCCCGGAGCGCTGAAGACTGGGGGAAGGGAATCCTTCCCGGGACTGTAAATAAACGAGCCGGGCGGGCCGGAGAGGCTCTGGCGGGAGCGGGGCGCGCCAGCAACCAGGAGCGGGGACGCTTGTGAGAGGAGGGAAGACCCACTTCCCACGTGAACTGTAAATAAACACGCAGGCCTGACAACGCGGGGCAGTGTCGCCTTTCCCAGTGCTTGGAAAGGGAAAAGCCTGTAGCAGAGGCCCCCTCCCGCACAGGAGAACTCTGAGCAAACAAAGCCTGTGGGACCAGGTGAGTGCTAAGCTCACCCCAGAGATCTGCATAAATAACGCCGCCAGCTACAGGCTGAGAGCAGCAGGCAGGCAAGCCACAGTTGCAGATACCACTCTCAGAACTGCCTCCAGACGCTTTTTTTTCTTTTTCTCCCTACCTTTGATGAGAGAACAACCGAATTACACCTGCAAGCCGAAAAACTTACTGAAACTGTATTGCATTTGAACTGGGGACACTTGGTGGGGCTTTTTTTTTTTTTTTCTGTGTGTGTGTGAGTGTAGTTTTGTTCTACTTTATGCATCCCCTTTGATGAGACAACTACAGAACAACATCTGAGGCACCAACTCCAGGACTGGAGATTGAGACGGACATCCAAATTATTAAGACTGAAATTGCATTGCATATAAACTTGGAAGTTTTTTGGTTTTTTGTTTTTTTTTTTTTTAATTTTCTATTTTCCATTTTATTTTAATTCATTTTTATAAATAGATATTACTTTCATATACTTATTTTTTATTTTTTTATCTTTGATTTTCAATCCTCTCTCTGTCACTCTATTGTCTGTTCAGCTTACTGTCGATTAGTACACTAACACTCCCTGTTTATACCTTTGAAACTCTCTTGTCTGATACCTTGTTCTGCTTTCTCCCTCTTGTCTGTATATTTGTTTTCCCCTTTTCTTTAACTTCTTGCTTTCCATCTCAGCTCACTCTTCCATTCTCAATATTACCATTGTTATTATTACAAGCTAGAAAATACTTAATTACACACAGTACAGGGACAGTAACAACACCAAGGACAATGACGGGAAGACAGAAAAAACAAGGAAACCAGTTTCCCCACAGCAAAAAATTAGTACAGGAACCAGAGGGGAATGAAGAGAACAGAAACTCAGATCCAGACTCCAACAAAATGAAGATAAACTATGCCAAAGGACCCAATGAAGCCTACAAGAATAATTTAAAAGAAGACATACTACAAGTACTCAATGAGAATTTTATAGAGATGATACTGGATAGGGTCAACCAAAATGTACAGGAGACACTCAAGAAATTCCAAGACAATAAAAATAGAGAATTTGAAAAAGCAAAAGAAGAAATAAAGGAAACCATAGAAGCACTGTATAAACACCAAAGTGAAAGAGAGAACACAATGAATAAATGGATAAATGAACTCAGGACAAAAATAGACAACAATAAAGAAGAAAACAGCCAGGATATGGAAAACCTCAGAAAAAAGAACGAAACAGAACTGCAAAACAAAACGGAAGGCCAATCCAGCAGAATAGAACAAACAGAAGACAGAATCTCAGAACTTGAAGATGAAATGGTAATTAAAGGAAAAACTGAAGAACTATTAATTAAACAACTCAAGACCTGTGAAAAGAAAATGCAAGAACTCACTGACTCCATCAAAAGACCAAACTTGAGAATCATGGGCATCGAAGAAGGAGAAGAGGTGCAAGCGAAGGGAATGCGTAATATATTCAACAAAATAATAACGGAAAATTTCCCAAATCTAGAGAAAGATATTCCCATACAAATGCAAGAGGCCTCCAGGACACCAAACAGACCAGATCAAAATAGAACTACTCCACGACATATCATCATTAAAACAACAAGTTCAGAAACTAAGGAAAGAATATTGAAGGCTGCAAGAGAGAAAAAACAAGTAACATACAAAGGTAAACCCATCAAAATCACAGCAGACTTCTCAACAGAAACATTAAAAGCAAGAAGAGCGTGGGGTGAGATCTTCCGGGCACTGAATGAAAATAACTTCAACCCCAGGATACTCTACCCAGCAAAGCTATCATTCAAAATAGATGGAGCAATAAAAGTCTTCCATGATAAGCAGAAACTAAAACAATATGTGACCACAAAGCCACCATTACAAAAGATTCTGCAAGGGATCCTGCACACAGAAAGTGACACCCAACTTAACCATGAAAAGGCAGGCAGCACCAAACCACAGGATAAGAAAAAGCAAGACAGTAGAGAGTAACATCAAGTTAGGTACACACAATCAAACCTTCAAACAACTAAGATAACTAAATGGCAGGAATCACCACATACCTATCAGTACTAACACTTAATGTTAATGGACTTAATTCACCCATCAAAAGACACCGTTTGACAAAATGGAT